TCGTATTTCCTAGAATTATCTAGATGCTCACGACTTCCCAAAAAATAAATCTAAATCCGTAAACTTCTGTTGAAGTAGGATAAATTAGGGCCAGGGACACGTTGGAGGACCGCGCCCCCCATGATGTGGTTGCGTCACGCTTGCTTGACTATCCCCTCATCGGGGGTGTTGGTAAGGTGCAGTCATTATGGCGCTTTCCATATTTCTCCCATCATGGATTTCATCCACTTATGCTACTGAAGTTCCCCAACCGAAGGGGAACGTTCGAGGTTACAGAAGTAACCCTTCGTTCCCCGAGGAGGGGAACGGAAGTGCCATACTCCGTCGCCATAATGACTGTCCCTTAGCTGTTTGAAAGTCTCTTCAGCTTAAAAGGATGGCGTCTGCTGGCTTCAGGTGTGCTTATATGCTGAGATAATTGCAGATGCCGCACACCTGCGCAAGCTTACGCTGCCAATTAATTTCATTCATTGGCCCGTTTAATACTCTCCAGACAAGCGGCTTCTGATCCGAATCCTCCCATCGTGGATTTCATCCACTTATGGCACTTCCGTTCCCCTCCTCGGGGAACGAAGGGTTACTTCTGTAACCTCGAACGTTACTCACTGAAGCTAAGCAGGGCTGTCAGTACCTGGATGGGAGACCACACAGGAAAACTAGGTTGCTGTTGGAAGTGGTGTTAGAGGGGGTGCTCAACCTGTGGTCTGTGTGAATCCTAATTCCCCAGTTAAAGCGAAGGGGACACTACTGTCAGTGGGCGGTGTCTTTCGGATGAGACGTGGATGAATATCCATTCATTAAAAATCCAATGGCACTTCTCGTAAAGAGTAGGGGTGTAACCTGGCCAAAGTCCCTCAATCGGCTCTTATAATCATGGCCGCCCAAATTATCCCAATCCACCGAATTGGCTCTGTCACAGTCTCTTCAATCCACCATTAGCTGGTGTGTCGTGAGCACACTGGCGCTGTTGTCCTGTGGCTGCTGTCACATCATCCAAGTGGATGCTGCACACTAGTGGTAGTTTGGAAAGACCCCCCCTCATGATTGTGAAACGCTTTGGGTGTATGGACATACACAATATGTTCATGTTAGTAAGTACATTTACCAACATTAACTAATGGACAGTTACTTTAAAGTGTTACCTAACATTGCTATAATCTAAAATAATATTAAAAGATTTTATGGTAACATTTTCAACAAGGTTCTTTAGTTAATGCATTTACTAACAAGAACTAATCATGAACAACACATGTACATCATTTTTTAATCTTAACTGAACATTTACTAATGCAATATTAACATCCAAGTCCATGCATGTTAACATTAGTTAATGCACCATGAGTCAACATGAACTAACAATGAACTACTGTATTTTCATTAACTAACAATAACTAACATGAACAAATACAGTAGTAGATGTAATGTTCATTGTACATGTTAGTAAATGCATTAATTAACATTAACTAATGAACCTTACTGTAAAGTGTGACCGATTTTATTACAAATAATACATGTATAATATAACAGTCATTATAAACAAGCCAGAACTTCTTGAATAGGTTTCTTGAAAAGTGAAAAGAAGAATAAATATTTAATATTATAATAAATTATTATTTCAGGGATTGCGCTAATGTCTTAAAAACAGTGTTTGAATGACTATACAATGAATTAAAATCTGGGATTGTAAGCATTTTGGTCAGTTTTGGTGTGTTTACAGGCTATTTAAAGCTGTACTGACCAATGCAATAGACAAGATTTGTATGGCGTGTTTGTTTAATGTTAACCCTTACTGTAGATTATGCAGTAAATAACTGTAAAATAGCCAGTGTTTACCTGTAATGAAAGGAAACAGTATTTTACTGTAAAAGAAGAAGCAAGATTTGTATGAAATTCTGTAGTGCAAAGAATAAATCACAGTAATTTACTCTATGTACCCATTATAGATATTTACATCATAATATTTGGTATAAATTTACGTCATAATAAATGGTAAATTACTGATCAACCATTACTGCCCCATTTACTTTGATGCTTTATGTTGCTATTTATATTTATTATATACATTTACATATTTATATATATTTACTGTTCAGTTTTGATATGTGAATGGTCAGTATTGAGGGGAGAGTGGGACATTGCATTGATGATAAGCTGAATTTCACTGAAGCCATGTGTTTTCTTTGGTTTCTTTTATGTTTTAACATTGAGTATCAGGAGTCAACCAATGCCACAGAGATCATTAAAAGCTAAGCATAAGATATGGATGAGATGCATTTAAAGGCAAAAATATTCACACAGAGAAAATAAATTGTCATAATAATTCTTATAACTTTGTTTACGTTTCTATAATTAGTCTAATTTGCCTAATTTAACCTATAGTTCAGCTTTTAAATTGCACTTTCAACTGAATATTAGTATTTTGCTAAATGACTAGTAAAAATGTGTTATTAAAAAAATATCTTAAACAGCACGTACATACATGTTTGCAGAGACTCAATGAATTTGTTTGGAAAACTTCAAAAGTAAGTAAAAGCGGCATTAACAGTATAGTATAAAGGCTTTCCTAAATAAATGTATAAATCATGTAATTTTTGTGTTTTTTTGTGTTTTTATTATTACTACAGATTTGGAATGACATGAGGATCAGATTATTTATTATCATTTTTTTTAATATGGATGAAGTTTGCATATTTTAATTGTTTTTATTAAACAATATGTGCATAATTGTGATAAATGTAGGCAGTTGCTTTGAAAATATGCTTTGCACCAGGGATGTCAAACTACTAGAGGGCCGCAGCCTAGCAGAATTTAGTTCCAGCCCTGCTTCAACACACTACCTTTAGATTTAGTTTGATCAGGTGCTTAATTAGGATTAAAGCTTAACTGCACTGTTACCCTGTAGATTATGCAGTAAATAACTGCAAAATAGTCAGTGTTTTGCTGTAATGAAAGGAAACAGTATTTTACTGTAAAAGGAGTAGAGTGTGAATAAAATTGTGTAATGCAAAGGATAAATTACAGTAATTTACTTTATGTACACATTACTGTGACAATAAATGGCATATTACTGTTCAACCATTACTGTCCCATTTACTCTGATGCTTTATATTGCTGTTTATAGAGGCGTGCATTTTAAAGGCAGAAAACAATGATTTAGGCCTCACCACACTCCCACAGGCTGTCTTATTCTAAACACAAAGGTATTAGAAAAAGTTTTCAGAAAATGCTGGCCCTTTAAGGGAGTCAGGTGTTTGATTTGTTTACTGCTGAGTGCGCTCTATTCTCTGTCTATCAATTCAGATGTAGAGTCTGATATGTTTTAGGCTTTAAATAAGAATCTACAATGAGTAAGTAAAATGTGTTCAAATGTTTTTGAGGGTTTCTAAAATAAGGCTGTGTTTTAAGTTATATTGTTATTATCTTGAACTGTGTACTTGAAAGCTACATTGTTAGCTAGTTAGCCTCTCTTCGCTTTTGTTTAAGTATATTTATTTATTGGGTATTGCATATTGCAATAATGTACAGATGCTAAAAGTTTATGCACATAAAAACCAATAAATTCCATCACCTCAGTAAGGTAACATGTGCACAGAAATCATCACAGGGAATCACAACTAATATGATACAAATAACTATCCACACACAAAAGCTCCACTGTCAGGTCCCTGGTTTTGAGTTTGTTGCTAAGTATTTTTCAGAGCTGTGTTTCCACATATGAATTTATATTAGAAACAATAGAAAAGTTTGTGGTCATGAGATTTTAAAGTAGATCATAATTATAACAATAAAAGATTGGATCCTTTGGATTTTCAGTGTTGCCGACTTTGTTTTTGTTTTTTATAATTATTTTAAACATTTTATTGAGAATTGACGGTATGTGCCTGTGTTTGACAAACATGTTTCTATATATACATATTTAGGAGAGAGAAACACATTTTACTGCAGCACTTTCTGTGTGTGTGTGTGTGTGTGTGTGTGTGTGTGTGTGTGTGTGTGTGTGTGTGTGTGTGCGTGTGTGTGTGTGTGCATGCGTGCATTTTTTTATTTGATATGTGGTTGTGATAATGTTGGCAGTTGCTTTAAAAATATGCTATATACCATGGGGGTCAAACTCCAAGTTCCTGGAGGACTGCAGCGCAGCAGAGTTTAGTTCACACCCTGCATCAACATTACCTGTAGATTTCTAACAAGCCTTAATTAGTTTGATCAGGTGTGTTCAATTAGAGTTACAGCTTAAAGTCCCGGTCACACTGCACTTTTCTCTCTTTAGACTTCCATTCATACGCATGTAAATGCTGCAGACCTGGAATGATAGCTCATGCGAAAGATTTCACTGTTTGCAGCATTGGAAAGTTCAAACTTGGAGATCTCTGACCTGCGAAATCACATCATGTGATTGCTTGAGACCAATCAAAGATCAAAACATGACCTGTCTGAACAAAAATTTAAACTATGGACCAGTTGCTTGCTTTTTCAATCTCTAACTATTTTGTTTAATCCCACTTCTTTTCGCAGTGCCGTATGACAGAATTTTGCATGCTCAAACGTTAGTGTGACCGCAGCCTTACTGTGCAGACCTGTAATATGTAAGACGATATTTATATCTGCTGATTTCTTAATTTTGTTATACATTTTCTGTTGTATATTTGTTTGCTGCCAAAACAATAAAATACATTTGTCTAAATTTTTATGCCTTTTATTTTTAATAACAGGTAAGAATACTAATTAATTTTAGTTAGACTATGTCATACTATTAATGTGTATGCAGTATAATGCTGTGAGTTGTAACACTACAGTACTGTAATTAACTGTACACAGTTTCCAGTTAGTTACCACTACTGCTCTATTACAGTAATTAACTGGCAACACTGTTGCCAGCTAGTCACTATAATGGTTCGGTTACAGTAAATAACTGGCAACACTGTTGCCAGCTACTCACTGTATTGGTTCAGTCACTGTAATGGTTCAGTTACAGTAATTAACTGGCAACACTGTTGCCAGTTACTTACTGTAACCAAACCTTTACAGTGAGTAACTGGCAACAGTGTTGCCAGTATTCTACTGTAAAAATGCCCGGTAAGGTCTAACAGTGTAATGTCTGCAAGTGAAATCTTACTTGTAAACCAAATATTTTGCCGAATTTGTTCATGGGCACGAGAGATAAAGTGAAGTGCTTCATCTGCCTCTAGTTGTGAACCAATGCAGAGCCGACATTTTATGAGCTGGAGCTGCATGTTTGGCCAACCATATATAGATGTTAGAATAAAAGGAGCAAACGTTTTGAGCTTCAGCAGACATCAGCCCAATATATGTGAGCTGTCTGGGTATTAAATCATAAAGTAATTCTTATGGTATGTTTGTGTGACAAAGTTTTTTGGTACATAAACTATTGCTATATTAAACTAATGCTAATGCTAAAACTAATTCTTAAAAATAAATGTAATATATAGTGTTTAGTGTGTGACTGTACGTTAGAGTTTATGAATTAATATATATGTGTGAATTTTCTAACAGAGGATCTTGAGCTTCAATGAAATCACTCGAGGCTTCTCAAACCTCACTCGACGCAACTCTCTACGCCGAACTATCGGGAGACACAACACTCTGTCAGATGATCACCCACACACCCTCAATAAGGTAAAACCTCTGACTAATTTCACAAGATACATCATTTCCTGGTTTCTCCACAGTTGCTAAGCACATGGCACTACTTCCATGCTAGCTATTTGCTAAAAGTTCATTAATGACTATTACATGCTGGCTTAAATGCTTAGTTTGTTTTTTATGAATGCTAAAGGGTTAATTTTATTTGTATTTTATTTAATTGACAAGAGAACCAAGAAAAGATTTTCAATGTATTCATTGGTTGAATAAATTGTATTAAGGGAATAGAAACAAATTAGGATTTTAATGGCTACAACACACTCCAAAACGGTTGGGACAGAGGCATGTTTAACATTATATGAACCTTTTTTTTTCCATTAAAATGTTTAATTGTGGGTGATGCAGTGCCGCAGTAGGTGGTGCTGTTGGGCTCTATTTTGACGGTCCATGCGCAAAACACAAGGCGCAAACGCTTTCACGACGTGTCGGGACGCGTTTTTGCTAATTTAAGGATGTGAAATCTGTCTTGCGCCGTGGCGCATGGTCTAAAAGGGTTGAGTTTATTTTCTTAAAGACTTATTGGTGTTTTTGAGAATAAACCAATTAGAGTCTCATCTCCCATTCCCTTTAGGAGTCAGCTGCGTCGCGCCAAGAGCACATTCGCTATTTACAGGACGCAAAGTAAGTCTAAGTGGAAAAAAATGAACATTTCACTAGCAAACAGTTAACAGTTTTTTAACAGAAAACTGTTAAACAGAGCATCTACAGCGTGAGAATGAGAGATAATGGAACTACTTTCACATACGCTCTTGGATAGGAAAACCTTTACGCACAGATATCAATTAGTCTATAAATAGATACTTTTGTTTGTTAAGCGCAAATATTCGTTTCAAAACTATTTCTAAATTCAGTTCTAATTTCCAGCAAACGAATAAATGAAAAATAATAACAAAATGTGCTCAGAAACCTGAGTTATATACTAAAACACATGCTGTGCCCCATATGGTCTAAAACCTGACAGGTGGGCAAATCTAAGCTTGTTTTTAATAAAACAAATATAAATATGGATATAATAAGTAATACTGCTAATAATAATAACATTATACAAAAGCAAATTGTTATGAATGAACTGAAAAGCCTCCCGAGATGAAGAAGAAATAAAAGCAATGATTTTTCATATTTATGTAGGTTAGAAAATAATATGTTTTGTAATATTTTAATCCTTTATATTTATATTCTATATCTATTCTTATTATATCCTATATATATCCTTAATATTTACATTTTTTCATATGTAAAGATATTTGCCTATTGCTCTCTTGTGCGTATTAAGCAGTGCGTAAGCGAGGCACAACTCTGCGCCGGAGTTTAGACCGGGTTAGTTTTGGGTCTAATGAAAAATCTATTATAGTTTCTCAAAATAGCAACGCGCCAGCGGACCGCCTCTGAACGCCTTCCTTTTTAGACCAGAACGCCTATGGGCCCACAAATGAGCAATAAAGCATTTGCTATTTAAACAGCGTAGCGCAACGCCTCAAAACGACTCTTGCGCCAAGCTGAAACTACCAAAAGACTATTGCGCCACACTGCGCAGGGTGTATGATAGGGCCCCTTGCCTCACAGCAAGAAGGTTGCTGGATAGAGCCTCGGACTAAGCTGAAAAGATAATGAATGAATGAATGTTTAATTGTGAATTCAGGATATTGATAGTTTTGGAGCCAATGTGACAGTGCAAAACTTCAGTAAAAAAAAAAAAAAAAAACATATTAAGGCTGAATTGTTATTTTATTAAATTATTGAAAAACTTATTTTTACAAATTATTTTTTGTTTTTGTTTAAGGAGGTAAACCTGGGACAACCTGAGTTGGCACCAAAAAATTAACAGCAGAGCTTAATTTGAGCCGGATTTTGCAAAATCCTGTTCCGGAAAATGTCAGAAATTCTTCTTTTGCATACCAGTATATACTTTAATGGAAACTTAATAGCTTGTGTTTGGTGAATATTCTGTGCAATATTTTCAGCTTTCTTATGTTTAATCACACTTGTTGGTTGGTGATTATTCTTTCGCACACAGTGAGCAGCGAAAATAAGTTATGGGATTGTGGCCTACCTAAATAATATTTATATTTTCAAAAATGGCAAAGAGGCAGTCAAGCATATTTTATTTTGTTAAACCACGAGTAAATCAGATAAAGAGCCTGATCAAAAGAGGTCTTGAGAAGATGAAACTGCATGAATGTATCAGGATAGCAGGAAACAGAAGCAAAGCAATCTCAAGCCAGAAAACATGACAGAAGAGGTAACTGTGGGCTCTTCTTGAAGACTAATTAATTTTTTTTTTCACTTTGCACATAATAGTGAGGTGAACTGTGGTTGTTCATATAATTAATATTTTTAATATCCATGACTGACCCATAATGTTATATGGCACTAAATAATCAAAGACTGTTCAGACATTTGATGCTCTTTTTTTGTACTATTACCATTTAATGGAAAATGGAAAAAATGAAAAAACAAAAAACAAAATGTGTGGTAGACGTCGGTCACGTTAACTTTTATTTCCTGGTTTTGTTTTGGGAATATTTATTTACAAATTAAGCACTGACTAACAGTGATGAAAACCGACTGTGTTGTCTCCTCACATTGGCTGTGTCTGGTAATGTCTAGACCAAAAAGCTGTATGTGAACACACCAAACAGACAACAGCAGACTAAAACAACAATGTATGTTCTCTGCCTGTGTGAGAGGATGTGTCTCTTCATACCTGCAGGTGGCAGTAGCCTGTATGGTCATTCAACACAGGAAAACTAGAAATAGTGCTGCACACATACTGTAAAAAGCAGTGTTTATGTACTGTTTTCATAGTAATTCTCACTCACCAAAGAGATAATTCGCTCATGTAAATATGTCTGATAATCTATACCATTTGCAAACAGTTAGGAAAATGTAATGAAATGACATTCAGTTTATATGTGTTCCTTTTGGACTTGTAATGTTTGCTTGGTTTCGTCACTTCCGTTTTTGTTCTCATGCTCGGATTTGTAGATAAACAGCCAATCAGAGCATTCTCATTCACCACGACCAGCATGTACTCTACTTGCTATTTAAGGCAAACTCCTTCTGTCATGAGTCTGTTGAGAGGCGGCATGTTGAACACACCAAACAATCTAGAATGACAGACATTCACCGGTGGTCTGATGCTGCTCAATGGCTGACTAATAGCTCAGTGTTTCCTAGCACTAAGGGATGAACTCTCTGAAGACACTCGATTGTCATCTCTGCAGTAAAGGATGTGTCTCAGGTTTCATACAGTTAACATAATCAGAGAATATTTGTTTTTCATTTCAATTGGTTTATTTGAAAACAGACATTCAGATATGTATACATATGCCCATATATTTCTGTAGATGTCTGAAAGACAAGTATGCACAGAGTCTCTTCTTTTTCGTCGAGTTCCTCTTTTTTGCGCAATGTTTTGTCAGTGTGTGCATATTACCATAGAGATAAACATAAAATAAACATACAGATTTTCAAATTGTACTAATTAGCCTGTTAATATCTTTAGGGCCAAAAATGACAGAGCTTTATGAGACCAAGTGATTTAATCTGCCATGCAGTGAACACTTCTAAAAGGTCCACACTCCACACAGACATATGAATAGTGCACATGTTCTATGTTAACAATAGATTGAATAGCCATAGCAATTGTTATTTGAGGTTGAGGAATGAAAGGCAAGCATTTACATGTCTGCCCAATGTACTGTTGGCACAAAGACCAGGCATTAAAACCATTATCTGTCCATCAGTGACAGTGTGATTCACTTCAGCATATCTTAGATTTAAAAAAAAAAAAGGCCAACGTTAATTAAATTTTAGTCAATTAATGAATGGTTAGTTGACTAATAGGAGCATCCCTGGCTATTGCTCAGAAACGACATATAGCTGTTATTTATGGAGTTACAAAGATTCAAGTAGCATTTCTTGATGCAGCAGCAGACTGTTTTCTGAAGTACTCCTGGAGTACATGTGAGTTAACTCAACACCATGGCATGACATTTTTCATGTAATTCTATGTAATTTATATAAAACTTAAGTACATTAAACTAAGGTTTCCTGTTTTGCTCTGCATGAACTGAGATAGATTTACTGAATTGTTTTACAATATGATATGTAGTAGTTGTGTAAAGACATTGGGCTCTATTTTAACAATCTAGCCGCAAAGTCCAAAGGGCAGGGTGCAAATGCATTAAAGGCATGTTTGAATCCACTTTAGCTATTTTAAGGATGGAAAAATCCACTTTGCGCTGCAGCACATAGTCTAACAGGGTTGAGCTTATTCTCTTAATGAGTTCTGGGAGTGTTTTGAGAATAAAACAATCCATCTTCCATTCCTTTTAAGAGTCAGAACGGTTCAATAGCGAGAAACAGTTAAACAGACCATCTGCAGTGCGAGATGAGAGAATGAGCCTCCTTCATTCGGCCTTTACGTTCACTTTCACTTTCTTTCTTGAATAAGGAAACTTGTTGTACGCACAGACATCAATTAGACTACATAATTAATTTTGTTTGTTAAGCACAAAGATTTGTTATTAAACTATTTCTAAGTTCAGTTTTAATTTCCAGTTAAGGAATAAATAAACAATAATAATGCAGTGTTATTATATCCAAACACATGTCCTACGCCCCATATGGTCCAAAACCTGACAGGTGGACAAATCTAAGCTTGTTTTTAATAAAACAAATAAAAAAATGCATATAATAAATAATACTACTACTAACAATAACATTATACCAAAGCAAATTGTCATGAATATACTAAAAAAAGCACCCCGAGATATAGGCATTAAGGCAGTGGTTTTTGCATTTATGTAGAAAGTAATCATTTTTGTAATGTTTTTTTGTTTTTTTTTATTTGTAAAGATATTTGTGTATTGCTGTACATCCTGCATGTTTAAGCCATGTTTAAGCAAGGCACACAACTAACCCGTTCTGCCACTTTAGACCTGCTTTCAGCTGGTCGGTTCCAAAGTCAATTTTAGATCCTCAAAACAGCTACGTGCCAACAATGCGCCTTAACACACCTTTTTCTAGACCGAAACACCCACGAGTCCACAAATGGCGCAAATGGATTTGCTATTTAAACAATGTGGCGGAAAACTGAAAAATTTATGTTGCGTTGATCAGAAAATAGAAATATGTCAGTGAAACATATATTGCGCGGGTGTATGATAGGGCCCTTAAATTCTTTAAAAATGTTAATTTTTTTTTTTTTACCAAATGAATCCTGACATATTACCAGTTCACCTGCTAATTGTTTTAAAACTGTTTTATATAAATATTCTATGAACTTTTTCATTTTAATTTAACCTTTTTGCAGCGTCTTGCAACTAAAAAATCCGAAATTGTCTGACTGTGAAAACACTTGTACAATTGCCAATTGAACTAAAGTTTAATAGAATTAAAAATAACAAATTTTACAAACTGTGTCAACCTTTTGGAATTTTGGATGCGATGGTATATGAATGAAACTTAACTGACATTCACCAAAAGTGCAGTGGTACTTTGGTCAAGATTTGTTGGAGCGATAATATTTTATCTCATAACCATCTGCTCTTTCAGCATCTAAAAAGGATAGCACTAATAACAACAATAACAACAACACAGCAAATGCCAAATGTCATGATTCCAATGATTGTTTTTCAACATAAATGACTTAATTCATTATGTAATGATGGAAGAACTGCAGCCATGTTTCACTGTAAAAATGAGCTGTCTGAAACATGCCCACACTTCCTCTTGCGGCAAGTTACCATGGTAAGACTTCCTGTTCAAGCAGGAAGTTATATTGTGTTCAGAGCACATCTCAAATGCAGATCAGAAACAAGTCACTCATGCACTCATTAATAACCTAAAGTAAATTTGGCATCAAGGATATGTCTCTGAAAGGCAGCAACACTGGAACATCCAATGGACTTAAGGTACGTACTTTAAACCTGACTGAAAATATACATGTACGTCTAAGTGATATCAACCGAAGATGAATATTACACTAAAAATGTCTGGTGGTAATGAGTTTGACACTTTCTTTCCTCAAAAAAAGTTTTTATCAGGTCAAGTTATAAGGTTAAAAGCAAGTATTGTTAATACTGAGTATAGTATGAGTAGTTTTATAAAACATTTTAGGCTTTTCTGCTTGATTCCTTTCTTCAGATCACTGAAGCTCTACTACATTACCCTCGGGGAATAAGAAGATCAGACTACAATAATATTCGTTAATATGCAATTTGAGGAGAAAAAAACATCGGTTTTATCTCTGACTTTAATTTTTGTGTCACGTTTGTGTCTGTCTCAATTGTCTGTTGGTGTTGAATCAAACAATGTTTATTTTATGTGCTTCAAGTACATGTATTTTTGATTAGTGTAACTCTGATCAATATCCTTTTTATTTCTCCCACAGACACTGACTGTCTCAGATGGAGGTGAGTTATGCATTAATGATATTGTTTAGATGAACGACATGTTCCTCCCTCTATTATGCTTCTTTAAAGGCATCAGGGGAGAATTGTGTTTTCATCCACGTGGCTATCAAACATCACTAATGTCGTACATCTAGGTTTATCCTTTTAACATTGACCTGTTTACATCCGGTTTTTGGGGGGGCAGGTGTAACCACATTAGTTTCCTCTGACTGTTTAAGTGTCATTGTGAGATCAAGAGAGAAAAAAACATTTAGGCAGACAGACAGACTGAGGTATTGAAAGTCATGTGACTGTCTGGAACTGAAGACAATCATTGATAGATCCAGTAAAACCATCAAATGTCTGATTCTAGTCATTCACAGTGTGACTCTAACTCATGTTAGGGAAATTCCTCTACTGCACATCAATGCCACAAAAACACACTGACGACTGATGTGTCAGAATAAAGGAAGAGACGCAGAAAGCGTCATTAACAGTTATTGGGTTGAAATTATTAATGTGAATCGTTCCAGTCCAAAATATCAGACAGACAAGCTTATTCTTTAGCATGTCTCACACATTCCCACTGCCTGAGCAAGACAAAACAGGGGTGAAACTAAGGATTCAACTAAACATACAGACACAAAACCTTGATCTGAGCTTCTATACTCTATTAAACCTTTAATTAAACAAAATCTGATTGAAGCTGAATACAGCCTACATTACCCTACTTATTTATGCAAATTGAATAAGTTCTAAGGAAGATAACATCCCAGGTAGCAAAGATTTCTGGCCCAGATTTGGCATAAAGCTGGCTCAGCACGCATTCATCCGGCACTGGCATACAACACGTGGGACAAACATGGTGGCACCATTTTTAAGGTGGCTCACAAGACATGGGCTAAATATCAAATCTGATATTTGGCCCAGATGTTAAAAATTGGTATGTGGGCCACATACATTTGGCCTATCTTGACCCACATTTAAAATACATTTGAATTATTTTTTGAGTAAAGTATTTTGATACAGAAAGTAATTTCCATCTTTCTGTTTACATCCTGTAATACAGTGTTTTTTAACCCCAGTTGAGGCTAAGTTATAGTTTATTAACTTGGCTTAGACTTTCTATTAGATTGTCCATGTTTGGTCTTTTTCTGGAAGTCAAACTTGGTCCAGTCATATTCCATAATTCACTTCGGCATGTGGATCAAGCAAAAGCTGATTGTGTGGGCCTGATACATTTTGCTACGTGGGATATAAATTTGGAAATAAATGTATTCACTGATGGTCAAGGTGATTCAATGTCCTCAGATGAGCCTGTGCTATTAGTTTCAGTGGTTGATATCTATGAATAACATACATTGGAATGTTGTTATTCACTAATCAAAATCAAGTACTCCAGAGAGCCATTTAATAATGTTTGATAAATACTTTGTACATTGAGTTGAAAGTACAAGTAACATTTCAACTGCATGTCAACTAGCATTTGTTAATGTGTTAGTAGACTGTCTGCTTGATATTTCCTAACATTTTAGTTTGAATGTCCCCTTTGAAAGTCTATATCTTCATAGCATCAGGCCATGTGCATCAGGCCATGTGTTTACTTATGTGTTAAGATGACATAATGCGATTTGAGTCAGCTGCAAAACATGCAAGCATTGCCTTGCCCATCGTAAACATGCCCCCTGGCCTGATATGAAAGACATTTTCAAACAAAGTTGTTTTTACAGTTGTTTTCGGAGATGCCTATAAATGCAAGAGTATTTGGAGCTTACAATCAAACAACTCAAATAAACAAGTCCCATGGAATGTTTTGACAATGTTTTTGGTTCCTGTTCTGGACTTTGAATGGACTTTGAATACTTGAATTGGATATCGGTTCGATACTACATATTTTAGCTGGGTCGAGTATTGGCTTGCTGGTACCGATCTAAATCCGATCTTGCACATGTGCTATATTCTGTGTAATTTATAAGCCAACACAAGCTATGAAGGTAGCCTATTATAAGGCACTAGAAAGTTGTCATGTAGGTCTACTATATCCCAAATTTTCTGAAGCCATTCTATAGTTTAATGTGAAGCACAGATTCAAGTTGTCAAATTCATGTTGATGCACATGTGCATTGCTAGGGTCTAAAGGGATAAAGGGCTTAATAGGTAGATGTGGGTATTGTAGCACTTGCATGTAATGCATATTTCATTCATTCTTGGGCAGAAATTCCATATACAGTATGCATCACAAAACTAGTAGAACGTTACAGATAATCCCTAATATGGATAAGGCATCCAGCTATTGCCGTAGTTGAATAAAAGTGCTTTAAAAAGTTGAATAAAAAGGCTTTAACTGATCATTTACTGCGACAATAAATTGTTTATATGTGTTCTTCCAGTCACTTTATGTATTTTCATAAGAAAGTTGATTTATAATTCGATGCTAACTGACATATTTCAGGACAAAATAGCTATAAAATAATATGCTAGATGCATGAACTCACTGTGATTTAACTATTGCAGAAACAGATGTGACTGGCTATATTATATGTAGATAAACATAGACATTTATAACATATCTAGAAAGCTAGTATAATACGTTTTTCTGACTAACTCACATGTATTTACATAAATTAATGGGAAGACAAATATTAAGCTTCATCAGTAGTTAAAACTATTCAGTTTGGCGAAACAGTTGTATTATTACCTCATCAGCTTCAGCTCTTCAAAATAAAAAATGAACGATGACAGAACCGTGGCGGGATTTTTTTAACACCTTGTGACAACAGTGCCACTCCCACCTGTCAGTAGAAACAGGTACTGCTGACCAGCTGACTATTTAATTGCCCGACACAAACGCTGCTTTAAGTGGAATGCGCGTGATGAATGTGTTAATTTTAAGTACTTAGATAACAAAATAAATGTTATACAACTTATTTTTATTTAAGTGCAACATATTCCAAATAATCAGGGGCTTTTGACAATACATCAGGGGCTAAATACTCGACACTCAGAATTTTGGTATCTGGATCCGTTCTAAAAAAATGGTATCAGTGCATCCCTACGTTAAACATCTAAGGATTATTGCAGACTATGGAGCAGGCTTGCACAATATTGGAAAAATCCAATATTGCGATATTTGGTTTTCTGTGATATTTATTGTGATATGAATATAATAATTTCACCAGATGACCAGAAGTTTTTATTTGATTGGGATGAATTTGTAGGCCAGATAATCTGCTAATACTTAGTTGCATTCTTTGTTGAATTTAACTTTATTTGAGTATAAGTTGAATAATCAAATGCAAGCAAATAAAACTGCATAGTCTTCATTGTATAAAAGTTAAATTTAACAAATTTTCATTGTTATAATTTCTTGTACACAAATTATTTAGAGGCCTTAAAAACAAAGCAAACAAGCACTCTCACTTTATTAAGGTTTAGCTTCACAATCACTCAACAATATGGTTCTTGTTCAGCTATAATTCCACTCACATTTCCTAAGGGATGAATAAAATGAACTATTGCGAATGATCACATTGTGATATGGATGCTGAAACGCTATATATATATATATATATATATATATATATATATATATATATATATATATATATATATAGTGCAGCCCTACTATGGAGGATTAGGACGCTCTCAGATTTCATCTAAAATAATTACATTTGTGTTCAAAAATAATGAAGGGTTTGGACTAACATTCAGAGGAATAATTAATAACATTTTTCAAATTTTTGGATGACCTAACCCTTTAAGTGCACTTTTATTGCTACAAATGTATCCAATCTCATACTATGGCATGGTCCGCTCATAATGGTATGAATTGTTTAAGATCGATTTTAAAAAGTTGTTGACATTACCTGAAAGTTAGTCACACCTCCATGTAAGATATTAAGCTAAAGTGAGGGTCTGCTTATAGTCATAATACATAGAAACTCTTAAGGTTGACCTGTCAGAGCTCTTAAACATCCTCTGTATTTCATGGTTATTAGAGCTGAACGTGATGTCAGATGAGCATGCAGCAACACATCACTCCAGCAGTAACTCCAGTCTGCCCACTGTGCCTAGTGAAGGGAGCCGAGGAGTGGGTCAGGTGGCGAGCTGGGCTGTCAGCTTTGAGAGGCTCCTTGAGGACCCTGTGGGTGTATGCTACTTCACAGTGAGTAAAAAAAGCGGCATTCATACAGCCACTGCAGTGAGAGTGAACATTTATGAACTTAAGAAAGCACATTAATACTTGAACAAATTCACTGATGAATGGACTTGAATGAGGCATATTGATTTACTTCACTAATGGTTCTTCCAGTAGCACTCGAGTTGTATAGGAAGGTTTCAGGAATGGACTTTATTAATGTAGGTACATGTTGTTTTGCCTCAAGAACTGGCTAAATTATTAGTCGAAAATATTTAAAATAAAGGGGTCAAAAGAATGCTAAGAAAAACAGAATTGTGGCATCTGCAGTCTGATCCTTTGATACAAGGTTAGATGAATCAATGCTTTCATGATGTTTACACTAAATTCTGACCCTTTCTGCAAATGTCTTTGTAGAAATAAAAGTATAACCTAACAGATTAGCCAATTTTTCAAATCTTCTGAATCTGTGTGAACTGTAGCTTCAGTTCCCCTTCGGGGGGAACTTCAGCACTATAAGTGGATTTGATTGTAAAATCCACGCATTGGGAGGTTCGGTTCAGAAGCTACTCGTCTGAAAGAGTATTGAACGGGCCAATTAAGAATGAATTGGCAGCGCAAGCCTGCGCAGGTGAGCGGCATAAGCAATCAACTGAGTATATAAGCTCACCTGGCGCCAGCAGACGCTATCCTTTTCGCTTCAGAGACTTTCTGATCGAGTCGATGAGGGTTCCTCCTGCTGTGACCAGCGATTCTGAGCGAACGAGAGCATTCTCCCGGTCCAGAGTGTGTACACGCAGTGGCAGACGGTCGAGCTGGGTTTCTCCCTTGCCTGGCGTTCTTTGGGTCCGGTCCTCCAGAGCGGTGCGTATAAAGTTGCAAACTTCACAGAAAGAGCAACACAGTCGTGCAGCACGTCCTTATCAGGACGGCGCTCCGACTGTGCGTTTCTGGATGCGGTGGTTTCCTGTCCTCGGATGATGGGCGCGGGCACTGCGTTACATGTCTGGGGGTCCAGCATGTTAATGCGCTGCTCGCGGGCAGTTCATGTCGTCATTGCGATGCCATGACTGTTGCGCAAGATCGCGGTTAGCCTTTGCAAAAGGGCGAACCACCCCAGTTGTCCCCTGCTCTGCAGCGGGCACTCGGGCAGATCTGAGGGTTTCAGCGAGAGATAATCCGTCGCCCACGGGCCCGCGGACCTCCCGCTCCTCTAAGCGCTCCATCCAAGCTTCGGGCGGGGGAAGCGATCCGTCTAACAGATGGTAGCCCTTACGCCCGATGACACCGGAGACCAGATGTCCACCGCGGCATCGGAAGGTGGGCTTTCATTGTCCGATGATGATCCAGACCCGCTCGCTCCCTTCGGGCAGGTGAGCGCTGTCACTACGGATCCTGAAACGGACATGTTAGCCGTGCTTTCCCGAGCTGCTTCGGCCGTGGGTTGGAGATGGTTTATCCCCCAGCTCCGCGGCCGGACCGACTAGAGGGGCGTTCCCTTCTTCCCGGAGGTGCACAGTAGGCTCACGCGGTCTTGTAAAGCACTTTTTTCTGCTCGTGCTGCGTGTTCCTCCACCCTAACCACTCTTGACGGTGAAACAGCCAGGGGGTATGTGGTGGGTATGTCCGCCTCGTCTCCCATCCAAAGCCTGTAAGTTATCTACCTCCCTCGGAGCTAGAGCTTACATAGCTGCGGGCCAGGCTGCTTCCGCCTTGCATGCGATAGCCACCTACCAGCGCTACCAAGCGCAGGCGCTGGCCGAGCTGCACGAGGGTGGGTCCAACCCAGGCTTACGAGCTTCGCACCGCCGCCGACTTAGCTCTTCGGACTACTGAGTCCGCTGCGTGTGCGTTGGGGAGGACGATGTCCACATTAGTGGTCCAGGAGCGCCACCCCTAGCTGATATGCGCAAAGTCGACAAAGTCCGCTTTCTTGACTTCCCCATATCCCCAGCCAGGTTCGGCGACACTGTCTGTGAATTCACCCAGGAATTCAAGGCGGTGAGAGAGCAGTTGGTGGGTGATGTCTTATCGGCGGTCCGTAGCCCGCTCCGCCCGCCGTGCCATTCATACCTGCTCCTCGCCGAAGGCGCCCGCCTACGAGAGCTGCTCCGCCCCCGCACATGCCTCCGGCGAAGTGAGCGCGTCGGGCACCTCGGAAGCAGGCAGCCCCCCTGCCCAGAACGCCGCTAAGTCCGGCAACGGACCGCGAAGCGCCCCTGGGACAGGCCATCTGGAGAAGAGGGAACTTGCTCTTTCCCCGCTGGAGGGCGGGGCCCCATTTCCAACGGCACTTTTTACTGCCATGAAAACATTATGAAAGGGCACTTTTCACTTCCCCAGATGTGTCAGCCCGAAATCTGCCAGTCTGGGACGCTATGCTTTCTAGCTTGCAGATTCGGTGCGTTTCGCCAGTGGCTCACGAGCGCTGGGAGGACGGTCTCCTTTCTCCCACCCCTCGAGCCTCCCCTCCGGAGCTCGGGTTTGGAGTGAGAGCAAATATCTCACCTCCAGCTTTTCCGTGGGACCCGCGAGCTTCCCGGATCAGCACACCCACTCCGCGCTGCCCCACTGCTGGTACGTCAGCGATTGTAGCGATGAGTCCATTAGCGAGAGCTCTGCCTGCCTGGTTAGCGCGGGCCAGCTCTTCGCGGTGGCTCATACGCACAATCAGACTCGGCTATGCGATTCAGTTCGCGAAACGGCCCCCCAAGTCACGGGTGTGTATTCACCAGGGTCAGCCCCCTGTCCGCCCCTGTCTTGCGAGAGGAGATTGCTGTCCTCCTGGCGAAGGATGCAATCGAGCCGCTCCCTCCAGCCGAGATGGAGAGCGGGTTTTACAGCCCACACTTCATCGTGCCCAAAAAGAGCGGTGGGTCACGGCCAATCCTAGATCTGCGCGTTTTGAACCGCTGCCTGCACAAGCTGCCGTTCAGAATGCTCACGCAGAAGCGCATCCTCCGGTGCGTTCGTCCTCTGGGTTGGTCTGCAGCATTAGACCTGATGGACGCGTATTTCCATGTCTCCACTCTTCCTCGCCACCGACAGTTTCTGCGGTTTGCGTTTGAAGGTCGAGCTTGGCAATACAAAGCCCTCCCCTTCGGGCTCTCTCTGTCTCCGCGGGTCCTCACCAAGCCCGCGGAGGGTGCCTCAGCGCCCCTTCGGCTCGCGGGCATCTGCATACTCGATTTCTTTACGACTGGCTGATTTTTGCCCTCTCTCGGAGCAGTTGATTATGCACAGAGACAAAGTGCTCTGGCACTTCCACCTGTGGGGGTTTTAGGTCAACCGAGAAAAGAGCAAACTCGCCCCCGTGCAGAGGATCTCTTCTCTCGGGCTGGAGTTGGACTCGGTCACCATGGCAGCGCGCCTCTCCGGAGAGCGCGCTCAGCTGATGCTGTACTGTTTGAGAGAGCTCGACAGTAAAACAGTGGTCCCTCTGAAACTATTTCAGAGGCTCCTGGGGCATATGGCATCCGCAGCCGCTTCATGCCGCTCGGATTATTCTATATGAGACCACTTCAGCACTGGCTGATCACGATCGAGTCCCCAGACGCGCATGGCACGCGCGCGCACACCGAGTCTCTGTTACTGCGCTGTGTCGCCGCGCCCTCAGCCCTTGGAGCGACCCCTCGTTCCTACAGGCCTGGGTGTCTCTAGAACAGGCGTTCAGTCTTGTTGTCGTTTCAGCAGACGCTTCCAACACGGGCTGGGGGGCTGTGCGTTGCGGGTATGCGGCTGCGGACCTGTGGAAAGGTACCCAGTTGCATTGGCATATCGCCTGGAGCTGTTGGCAGTGTTCCTCGCTCTCCACCGTTTTTTTCCGGTGCTGGAGCGGCAACACGTGCTGGTCAGGACGGACAGTACGGCGGCGGTGGCGTATATCAGCCGTATAGGGGGTATGCGCTCTCGCCGCATGTCTCAGCTCGCCCGCCGTCTGCTCCTCTGGAGTCATCTGCGGCTGAAATCGCTGCACGCCATTCATATTCAAGCAAGCTCAACCGTGCAGCCGATGCGCTCTCACGGCAGCCTTGCGTCCTGGAGAATGGAGACTCCACCCCGAGTCTGTTCAGCTGATATGGGCGCGATTCGGGGAAGCCCAGATCGATCTGTTGCTTCCCCCGAGATCGCTCATTGCCAGTTGTTCTTTCCCTGACCGAGTGCTCTCGGCACGGATGCACTGGCTTACAGCTGGCCTCGGGGCACGCGCAAATACGCGTTTCCCCCAGTGAGCCTGCTCGCGCAGTTACTGTGCAAGGTCAGGGAGGACGAGGAACAGGTTGCTGGTTGCGCCCCTCTGGCTCAACCGGACCTGGATGTCAGAGCTCTCCCTCGCGATAGCCCTCCCCTGGCAGTCCCTTCGAGAGAGCACCTACTCTCTCAGGGACAGGGCACCACCTGGCACCCTCGCCGATCTTTGAAGAGATTTTTAGACGCGAGGAAGACTTGGGTAACCTCCGATTGCGGTGGCTAATACCGTCACCCGGGCTAGAGCCCCCTCCCCGAGCGCGCCTATGCCCTGACGTGGAGTCTATTCACTGAATGGTGTGTCTCTCGCTGAGAAGACCCCCGTAATTTGCCAGATCAGCGTTGTGCTTTCTTTACGCCGAGAGAAGTTGGAGAGCAGGCTGTCGCCCTCCACACTCAAGGTTACGTGGCTGCTATCTCCGCTCTCATAATGCGGTGGCTGGCAGCACCGTGGGAACGCATAACCTCATCATCCGGTTCCTCAGGGGCGTTAAGCGAATTAATCCACCCCGCCCCCTCTCATGCCCTCTTAGGATCTCGCCCTCGCTACACAAGCCGCGTCAGATCCCTTCGATCCTCGACTCAGTATCTTTCTGTCCCTGAAGACAGCTCTGCTGGTCGCGTTGATATCGATTAGAGGGTCGGGGAACCGGAGGCATTTTTCGGTTAGTGACTCGTGCCTGTAATTGGGCTGGCTTCTCTCACGTCCTGAGACCCCGCCCGTGATATGTGCCCAAGGTTCCTACCACTCCGTTTTAATACGAGGTAGTGGGCCTGCAAGCGCTGCCCTCGGAGGAGGCAGACCCAGCCCTTCTTTATTGTCCAGTTCGCGTTTTGCGTATTATCCGGACCGCACTCAGAGTTTAGATCATCTGAGCAGCTCTTCGTCTGTTATAACGGTCGGCAGCAGGGAAGTGCCGTACCGAAATAATTTCCCACTAGATTGTGGATGCCTTTCTTTCACTATCAGAGCCGAGATGAGCCGAGATGAGCCGCGTCCCCCGAGAGCGCGTGCGCACTCCACTCGGAGCTTCGCATCCTCTCGAGCGCGGGCACGCGGCGCCCCTCTAACAGACATCTGTAGAGCTGCGGGCTGGGTGACACCCAACACATTTGCAAGGTTTTACAATCTGCGAGTGGAGCCGGTTTCCTCAAGGGTATTAGGTAACCCTTGGTGATTGAGGAAACAATTCGGTAGGGTGTTGAAACACGCTTGCTGCGCCATTTTCCCTAACACGGAGATACGTGCGCCTTTTTATCTGTCAGTAAAGTTCCCCGTCAGGTGAGCCCTGCAGATTCCTCCGTGGCCCCCAGCACTGACTCAGCGGAGGAGTCACTTGCTGGCCCACTACGTTGTAGGTCTGCCCGCTGGTCAGCCCGCGTTTTGGGTAAAGGTGCCTGCTATGCGTGATCCCCACTAGGCGATCCCATATGCTTATTCCGCCACGGTTAAGTCCCCCCCTGGGCGGACCCGTGTCTTCCCTCCCCGCTAACCACTCTTTTGCTATGCGTACTCCCCCTTTTTAGGGCTAGTCCATATGTAAATTCTGCCATCTATCCCCCCTTGGGTATCGGATGGCCTCCGCAGCGTCCTCCCTATCGGGATTGCACGCTTCCCAACGTACTGTCGTATTTTCCTAGAATTATCTAGATGCTCACGACTTCCCAAAAAATATATATAAATCCGTAAAACTTCTGTTGAAGTAGGATAAATTAGGGCCAGGGACACGTTGGAGGACCACGCCCCCCATGATGTGGGTGCGTCACGCTTGCTTGACTATCTCCTCATCGGGGGTGTTGGTAAGGTGCAGTCATTGTGGCGCTTTCAATGGGCTCCCAATGCGTGGATTTTACAATCAAATCCACTTATAGTGCTGAAGTTCCCCCCGAAGGGGAACGTTCGAGGTTACTAAAGTAACCCTTCGTTCCCCGAGGAGGGGAACGGAAGCACTATACTCCGTCGCCATAATGACTGTCCCTTAGCTGTTGAAAGTCTCTTCAGCTTAAAAAGGATAGCGTCTGCTGGCGCCAGGTGAGCTTATATACTCAGTTGATTGCTTATTCCGCTCACCTGCGCAGGCTTGCGCTGCCAATTCATTCTTAATTGGCCCGTTCAATACTCTTTCAGACGAGTAGCTTCTGAACCGAACCTCCCAATGCGTGGATTTTACAATCAAATCCACTTATAGTGCTTCCGTTCCCCTCCTCGGGGAACGAAGGGTTACTTTAGTAACCTCGAACGTTTTCTGTTGTTATCTGACAGGGTAGGTCATGGATGTAATCTTCTTCTGCTGCTGTAGCTTATCACAAGGTTTTGTGTGTTGTATGTCTTTTTTCTATTAGATCAATCAGTTTAGTCATTCACTTCTGACATTTGGCGTCAACCTGGCATTTTTACCCTCATAATTGATGCTTATTGGATATTTTCTCTTTATCATAGAATGCGAAAATCCTAGATCAGCCATTTCAGAAAACTCATACCAGCTTGTCAGGCATCAACAATTATGTCCTGTTAAGGTCACTTAAATCATCTTTTCATTCATTCTGATGTTCAGTTTAAACTTAAGCAGATCATTCCCATGTCTAGTCTACATGCCCAAATAAACATTTAGTAGTCAAGTTTTAACAGTTGAACCTAATAAGGTAGTGAACACATTACTTTTCAGACTACATTTTTTGCATCAATGTAAATCTTTTTAAATATAAAATATATAAATTAAACACAGGTGAAGCAACTGAATGTAAAATTATCATTGTTCAAGCCCCTTTCAGACAGCAGTTATTTCTCAGAGGAACGTCTGTAAAAGAAACTCTGTAAATAAAAAAGTGCTTTTAGATTAATAATTTTGCCTTGCCTTGCATATGAAACTTGGACTATGTACTTTACGTGATTACTCACATGTGAACTCAGATGCTAGTATATTTATATGTCTGATCTTTAAATATGGCCCATGACATCCACTTTTTTTAGCAGAATTTAGCTCTAAACATGATCTAACGCAGGGGTGCTCAAACTTGGTCCTGGAGGGACGGCGTCCTATATATTTTAATTCCAACACCAATTTAACCGAACCAGCTGAACCAGCTCTTTATAGGTATACTAAAAACTTCCAGGCAGGTATGTTGAAGAAAGTTGGAGCTAAACTATGCAGGACACCAGCCCACTAGGATGAGGAGATTCACCCTATGTGTGTAAAGCGCTTTAAGTGCCCAGAAAATGTATATATATATATATATATAAATATATATATATGTAATTATTATTAATTATTATTATTATCTAATGTCTAAAGCACAGGTCTCAAATTCAGCTCCTGGAGTGCCGTAGTTTCATTCTAACCCTAATTTAACTCACCTGATCAAACTATCTGAGTCCTTTCGCCTTGTTTGAAACCTACAGGTGAGTGTAGGGTTGGAGCTAAATTTTGCAGAACTGCGCCCCTTAGGAATTAAGTTTGACACTTCTGTTCTAAATATTCATACACATTGGGACAAGGTTTTGTTACATATATATATATATATATAGGTTATATATATATATATGTTATATATATATATATCATATGGTTATAAAGTCACCTGTAAATGATGAAAATCCCTTATGTTGCATTGAGAAACAACTGCCATTTACAAATGGCTTAAGTTGTGTGTGATTAATTAACCACCAAAATAGTTTTTGATAATACTTTATATCAAATGACAACCATAAAAACATGCTGATTTTATAAAATGTTTGGTAATATTCCAGCATGTCTACTGAATACAAAAGGCCAATTGTCTTACTCAGCACCTAGAAAAGCAGAAGAATCTTCAAAGCAAGCCTTCTAGTTTTTTAATGTACACATCATATACTTTCACTTATTCATACTCACACTTATTCATTTCTCAATACACAAGATGCTACAGAGAGCTGCTGCCTTGTTCCGTTTAGCGACCACGCAGAGCAAATAATTCAACACCAATTCATTGTGAAATGTGTAAAATCTGAAAAAGGGAGGTGAGGAGGAAAACAGCCTACGATTTGAGTCACTGTAATTATATGGTAAAGAGGAGGTGTGGAGAACGTTTCAGAAGGGGGTCTGGAAAAGAGATTGCGAGGAAAGGAAATGTTTGGTGTTTAAGTGAGAGAGTTGTGAGATGGATCAACCTTCTCGAATGCTTCATTTGGTGGCTAACAGAGATGCCAGCTAGAACCATAAATTAAATGGTCTTGTTTTTAATAATTATACAGGTGATTGTAATTATCATGTGTGCTTGCTCACAACACATGCAGTGCAGATCTGAAATATGTTCGTACTGTTAAAGAGACCAAATGAATTATTGTTGTCTTTCTTCAACACAGGCATTTCTGAAATCTGAGGTCAGTGCTGAGAACATCTTATTTTGGTCGGCGTGTGAAAAATTTCGCAAAATACCTGGCCATCAAACAGAGCAGGTAAATCTATGTATTGAATATCTAATCATTATTTTAACATTATTTTTATAATCTAACATGTGGCAGAATATATATTTGTAATATAGCTGTTATTTGTTTTCTTGCCCTAGCTCAAGAGAGAAGCACTCTCAATTTATAACACCTTCCTGTCCAGCAATGCAACTTCTCCTATTAACATAGATGACAGGGTACGGGTCGAGGAGAAAGATGTACAAAACCCTCATGCTGACATCTTTCAGAAAGCACAACAACAGGTATGTGAAATCTGATAGTAGCTTCTCAGCTAAATTAAATTGAAGGAATTTTTTTATGAGAACAGAAGCATTTATCTTAGTGAACTTGATCTATAGTTAATTATTTTCATTCATTTTCTTTTCGGCTTAGCCCCTTTATCAATCTGGGGTTGCCACAACGGAATGAACCGCCAATTTATCCAGCACATGTTTTACGCAGCGTATGCCCTCCCAGCTGCAACCCATCACTGGGATACAAACGTTACACTCTCATTCACACACATACAGTTCTGCCAGTTCAGCCTACCTAATTCACCTGTACCGCAGGTCTCTGTACTTGTTGGGGAAACCGGAGCACCCGGAGGAAAACCATGCAAACGCATGGAGAACATGCAAACTCCACACAGAACCAGCAACCTTCTTGCTGTTAGGTGACAGCAGTACCTACTGCGCCACTGCATCGCCATAAACAGGATTTGGTAATTCTAAAATTTGATATTTGGATCACAGTGATCCAACCAGTGTTAATTTCATTGATGAAATTTTTTTGTGATAATTTATGTGACGAACAAGTCTCTACCGACGAAAACCAAATAAAAATTAGGTCATGATGACGACAACTATAATAAAAAATATACTGGCATTTTTGTTGACTAATAAAACAAGATTAATGGACTTTTTGGTAAAAATCCAATAAGAATCAATCTTGGTGTATGATGCATGATGCATGGAATCATCCCAAAATTCATGCAAAGGTAAACAGTGATCACTTTTTTACCCGTGTGTGTGCTTTTGCTTAACTGAAACAGTAGCCTCACGCTTACCTTTAGAGAATTTACTCAGTTAAAAATTAAAAAAAGAAATTTTAAATAAATGAAGAGCTTTATTAGTGAGAAGCTGCTGAGCGCAACGAAATATAGGGTATATGTTATTACTTGCTCTTATGTGCTGAAATACTTAACACTTTCCTTTACTTAAGATCAGAGTAATATGCAACATCCGTAAATAAAGGGGAATCACCTATTAAGTGTCATATATCCTATAAGGAAAAATGTATATGTTTCAGGTCTCTCCGGAGCATTTGGGCTAAATGTTTGGCAGCGTCTATCTAAATGAGCATGTTTTAAAATACTTTTTCTACAGAGTTATTAACAGAGATTTTCTGTGGTTTTATATTATGGATGGGTGCGTTCACTGCGCTGGTTCCTTCTGTTAGTTGCGAGACCACTCGATGCACAATGCCAACAGTCGGTCGGCGAGTAAACAAATATGATGAATGAGAACATACAAACATGTGCGTATAGACATATAATGTAATGCTGTACAGTAACGTGTCATTAGTTTGTTTTGATTGACTTCATTTTAATAGTTTCGTGATGATGCGATGGTGTGCTTTATCGGCCTAATTCCCGCTGAAGTGGGTAGGTTGAGTGACGTTTGATTTAAGGGACGTTCTGGGTGCGGGGTTTGCATGGCGCACTGAAAGCTACTAGCCAGACAATGGAAACACGACATGATTTTGGCCTCATTGCTCAACCTTCCGGGCGATTGGCCCGGTCCAGCCTAATAAAAGCCCTGGCTCGCACTGGCCCGACAGTGGAAATGCGACTATTATGCATGCTAGTACCAGCAATATGCCAGCAGTGCCATATTAAGGCCACATTTGGGCCAAGTCCGTTTGCTATGTGGGTACTAAGTCAATGGTGTTAACTTTAATTCATTAAGATATCCTAGTTTCCCCAGGATGTCTCCTATACAGAAAATGACCAGATACAACCCTGCTTATATTCAATTGCTAACTACTAAAGTAATCACAATGTTTTAAGGGGGAAAAAAGTTTAAGACTCTGCCTAAGTGCATCCCAGTCATCAAGCAAACCATGTACACTAGTGACACTGAACAAAAAACTAGAGCATTCTCAGTATAATCAACTGCAAACTGCAAAAGAGCATCTTTTTCAATCAGTTTCAAATGCTTTCATCTTCAACAACACAGCAAGTGAAAAAAAATCTGAAAAACATGTACGACAACAAATGCTTTTGTAGTTTTCGTCTTTTGTGGTTTCTAAGAATTAAGTTGAGTCATATAGACTACATTTTCCAAGTGAGAAACGCATTTTATTGTCATATGAGGTGAGTCAAAGCACAGTATAAGAACAGACAGCAATCATGACTCAATTATCCAGAGCTACTAAAAATAATCAAATCGAGAGCCCACCCTCATTTGACTCCCTCTTGAGCAGAAGTGTCCTAACCTATATCCTATCCTCTCCGTTCCCTCTCTTTCGTTCCAGATCTTCAAACTGATGAAGTTTGACAGCTATACTCGTTTTGTGCGCTCTCAGCTCTATCAAAGCTGTATGCTAGCTAATGTGGAGGGCAGACCACTGCCATTGCTGGACTCTCGTGGCAAACCCCTTGCATTATCCAAACAAACCAACAGCAATTCACCCAGAGAGCAAGCCAAATTCGACAGAACTAAGGAGGTACAGACTGGACCTCTCAATTTAAAATCTATCTTTGATATGAATGAGAGATTCATAGACTTTGCTGTATTTCAGAGGTTAAAAGCCAAGCCAAGTGCTGCTGATGCTGAAGATGTGGTGGAGAGGAGGAAGGTCAATCTGCAAGGGATGATGGGAAAGGACAAGCGCAAAGAGAAGAGAGGGTCCTGGGGAGGTAATTTATAATGTCAATATACAGTTGAAGTCAGAATTATTAGACCCCCTGAATTATTAGCAGCCCTGTGTATTTCCCCCCCTTTTTTCTGTTTAACAGAGAGCAGATTTTTTTTCAACACATTTCTAAACGTAATAGTTTTAATAACTTATCTGAAATAACTGTTTTATTTTATCTTCGCCATGATGACAGTAAATAATATTTGACTAGATATTTTTCAAGACACTTCTATACAACTTAAAGTGACTGATTTAAAGGCTTAACTAGGTTAATTAGGTTATCTAGGCAGGTTAGGGTAATTTGGCAAGTTATTGTATAATTGATTTTATTCTAGTTGAAATAAATCGAATAAGACTTTCTCCAGAAGAAAAAATATTATCAGATTTAGTGTGAAAGATTCCTTGCTCTGTTAAACATAATTTGGAAATAATTAAAAAAAGAGAAAAAAAAATTGACAGGGGGAAAATTATGTCAACTGTATGTCATATTAAATTGATAACACAATTTTAGAGCTGGGATGTCCAAACTTGTTCCTGGAAACCGATTTTCTTTTGCAATATAGCTCTTAACCTTGTTCAGAGGTGCCCATACTTGCTCCTAGAGGTCTGATGTCCTGCAGAGTTTAGCTCCAACTTGCTTCAACACACCTGCCAGGAGCTTTGTAGTACAAAGTAAGAGCTTGATTAGCTGGTTCAGGTCTAATTGGGGTTGGAGCTAAATCTGCGAGACACCGGCCCTCCAAGACGGAGTTTGGGCTTGTTGAACACGGGCAAACAAGCCAATCAAGGCCTGTGTCTAAAACAGGGGTGTCCAAACTCAGTCCTGGAGGGCAGGTGTCCTGCAGAGTTTAGCTCCTACCCTAATTAAACATACCTAAACTAGATAGTCAAGCTCTTAGTAGATATACTAGAACAGTCCTGGCATGTGTGTTGAAGCAAGTTGGAGCTAAACTCAGCAGGACATCAGCCCTCTAGGATCGAGATTGGATACCACTGCACTACAATCTTGTAGCCTTGCTGCCCTCTAAGGCCAGTTTCACACTGCAAGCATGAGCATTGCACATATTTTTCGACATGGATTTTAACAAATAGAGTGCATTCATACTGGAAGCGGGAAAAAGTGCAGCAAGTGAGCGTCATGTGGGAAGCAATGTTTTGACACAGAGTCTATTTTTGCTGTGCTGCTCATACTCAAATAAAGTGACAGCACACGTTTGATGAGCAAATATATCTGAATTCACACAAAAAAAAATTATATAAATGTGCAAAAGAAGCACAAAATGCACAGAATATGCATGCATGTGTGTTGAACAATAATTGTTGTCATAAAAAATTGATGATCCAAAATAGGTAGGTTGCAGAGTGATATAAACAATGACGCAGGATTGCTATTTTAAAAACAGGCCAAAAATATAACTTGACATAAACTGTGTCATGGCAGAATTATATTTTTTTTGCATTGAGAAAAAGCTACTTGGAGCTAGATGCAGTCTTGGATTGTATAGCTAAAGCACTATGTGAATAAAGATTAAATAGTGCAACGAATAATAATAAATAAAATTTTTTTTTTATAAAAATATACATGTTTTTGTTGTTTAATATCTATATGTGAATGTTGTACATCACCCATCTTATAAAAACTTTAAAGACTGTCAAGTTTATTATTCATTCATTTATTCATTTTCCTTCGGCTTAATTCCTTTATTCATCAGGGGTCGCCACATGGGAATGAACAGGCAACTTATGAGTATATTATAACTTACTGTAACATATATTTGCCCTTCCAGCTGCAGCCCAGTACTGGAAAACACTCATTCACTCTCACATTCACACACACATACTATGGGCAATTTAGTTTATTCAATACACTTTCAACGCATGTCTTTGGACTGTGGGGGAAACTGGAGCACTCGGAGGAAACCTACGCAAACACAGGGCCTTGTTGCTGTAAGGTGACAGTGTTAACCACTGTGCCACCATGTTACTTCTTCAAGTTTATAACGTAAACATCTTTAGAAGCAAATTTATATATTTTACTAAATGTATATATTTTGTAATTAAAGGGCCACCTTGTGGCAGTCGTCACACTTCAAACGCTTCTGGTGTGAATACATTCATAAGTCTGCTCATGCACCACTCATGCTTCACTCATGCTTGCAGGGTGAAACTGGCGCAAGCCATGCATACCTCATGAATCTGAATTTGTACAGACATCGGAGAAAGCAAAATGGCTTAATGATCTACAGCAAACTTGAGAGAGAGAGCATAAGGGTATTTTAGAAGACAAGAAGTAAAGCTGATAATGGATTTGCATAATCCTTGGAATGGATATTTCATAGGAAGCTTTTAAAGCTTTTGGATAGAGCCGTTGTCTTCAAACTCACTAGATACTTTCAGGCAAGTGTGCTGGATCTGCTCGGAGTTAAACTCTGCAGGACATTGCCCCCCTTGGAGCAGGATTGGAAAGTCCTGCTTTAGACTGTCTAATAAAATCTATCTTCTGTGTTGACCATTTCCCAGAATCACCGATCAGCTTCAAGACTGGACTTGTCAAGAGTTCAGAGGTAATGTGCTACAATGTCTGCTTATACCTACAGTATGTACACACAGTTCTGGTGTTTAGTTTTATCTGTTGTTGCAGGTTGAGAAATTAGTCTCACGCTCTGCTGATGGAAAGGTTGATAAGTATTGTTGTGTCTTCCTGCCTGATGGTACGGCATCTCTGACCCCAGCCCGACCTGGTCTCACTGTCCGGAACATGCTGACCGGCCTATGTGAAAAAAGAAGACTTCCTCTGTCAGACATCATTATCTATCTACAGGGCAAAGATAAAGTAAGAAGTGCAAAATGTTTACATGTATGAGTCAAATGGGTATATTGATTATACAGGGCAAATTATAAAGACACCATGATACAATTGCATTGGAGTAAACAAAGTCTGCAAGTGATTCTGTGAGTGACAATGTGCAAAAAATAATAATAGAAAAGCAAAGCCGCAGCAATTAATTTCCTATATAAATAACATAATCTGCCAAATTAAAAAACGATAAAACTTTGTAGTCACAATTTCTTTTGACATTCCAAATATATTCCTCATTTTGGGTTACTAAATAATATTGCAAATGCCTATAATAAAGTCAGACGCAACTAAATAATAATACATTTTAATCTGTATGGCAAATTCTGATTCTGTGTCTTTAAATCCTGACAGAAAAAAAATCCTACCAGGCATTTTTTTTAAAGATTTTTAATACACTGATTTCATGCAGCTGCCATTTTATAAGCGAAAGCGAGGCTGCAGTGGAAAGAAACCCAGAAGTATAGCCTGGAGTTACATAGGAAAGGCATTTGCGATGGTGTATTGTTGTATATCTGGCTGTATATCTTATTATTTAAGAGAAAGTGACACAAATCTATCATTTCACTGCTTTTAGAGTGACCCGAAGGTCTGTTCTGAATGGATAGTGAAAATAAAAAGAGATATGGGACCTAATTTCAGCTAAGTTAAGGGAAAAGGCCATTTGTTTTAGATGCCATTTGTCAAACTCAAGCTAATGAACTGATTCTTTCACAATATTAGACTTGTCAAGATACTGAATTTTGATACTAAAATAAAAAAACATCCATTTTTAGCAAACATTTAAGCACTGTGGAGTGTGTTCTTAAACCGTTGATTTGCCATTGTGTTCACCAGTACTCAACAGAAATGACTGTGATCGCCCTTGAAGGTCATTAGTTCACTGCACTTCACTGATGTTTACCGAGTGCAAACACACACGAGCAATCCGCTGATGAACCAACTGATCTTTGGGACTTTAAAATGCTCCAGTGTCTGTGTATCTGTGTTAGCACTCAGTGAAGACCAGTGAACTGATGACGTCCACGGTCAATCACAGTCATTTCTGTTGAGCACGGGTCGTTTTTTTAAATGAAATAAGCATATAGGTATCCCAACCTAAATGGTTTGGCAATAGATGTCTATCAATAGTGAAAAAATAGACCAGTCATTAAATGTAATGAAGTCCAAATGAAAAAGTTTGGAGTTTTTTTTTCATTCTTGGTTGCACACAACTCATTGGTTGCCTTATTGGTGACAAAGTGTGCGTGTGCCTGACGGTTGAGCCTCACACTGTAAACTAATCGGCTAATGTTTGCATTTGTAATATTTGTATTATTTGCTATTTAAAAGCCACCTCTTGTGGATTTTTATAATTCTTAACAATTTTTGGAGGCTTGTACTTTCACATTTTTGGCCACACCTTCATATACACTGTAAAACCCAACAGTCAACTTTAGCAAATTAAATTAGCTAATTAAATACTTCATTAATCATATAACTTCATTTATGTACTTACTGTACATAACTTAAAGGGAGTAAGTTCATAGTACTCATACAGATTTTTAAGTCAAATGATTTGTAGCAATCGATTTCCTCAAATGATTTGAGTTGCCTTAATTTTTTGGGTTTTGCAGTAGTCAGTTGGTTTTTTTCATTTATTGGTTTTTACTGTGCTCAAATTGCTTAGTCTACTCAAATGGATTAAGTTTACAGTACTTGTTTGAATTAGCTTTTGAACTTAAATGGTTTGTTGCAGCTGATTTTCTTAAATGGTTTGAGTTACCTTAACTTTTTGGGTTTTACAGTGTACAGTACTGAGACAGCCTTCATGACTGAAAATAAATACACTGTGTTTTACACTGATATAATTGGGTAAACTGGCAGTGGGAGGAGTTACAAAGATAAAAATAAACCTGCATTCTGACACGGAACACACATTTTTAATGGAGAATATCTGACTTTATTTTCACTTAGCATGATTTAAATTACTGCAAAGAGTCAAAATTGTACATACTGCACCTTTAAATAGACAGACCAGACAGACTTCATTTGCGTAGTCATTCATTTGTTTCTATTTGATGACTAAAATTTTGCTGATTGTAGCAAAGATATTTGTTAAGACGCCTGTTATATGTGTAAATCTGGCATGAAATGTAGACAGTTTATTGAATTTTGCTTCTCGTTTTTATCCTTTGTAGTTTTTTGTACAAATAAAAAACATGCCTATACACATTAACTTATTTCTTACTTTTCTAATTTTATGTATACTTTTCTTTTTTAATGCATTGGCTGTTACATATAGCAACCATTATCATTGGACCAGGACAGCTCTGTGCTACAGGATCAGCAGGTGACTCTCGAACTGAGGGTCACATTTGCGTAAGTGTTGTACAAAAAATGTCCATTTTCCTGACAAAAATATTTTGTCTGCAAAATCCTGTTGATTGTATAATCTACATACATAAAATTATTTACATTAAAGGACCATGAAACCCTCCGCTTTCAGTTCAAGTCTACCTCAGATTTAAAAATAAAATGCTCCGAGATGGGCGTGGAGTTCTGTGAGCAGAGGGAGGAGTGGGTGTGGCCCGGCAGAGCAGGGGAAAAAGAGGGGAGCAAACAACTGTTGTCAGTTGGCTCACAAAATGATTCACAAACCACGAGGAGACCCATGATTTTATAATAAAAAGTTAAAAAGTTAAAGTGCAAAGAAATAATCAGTAAGTAATTTAATGTCCTGCTCCCTTGGTTTTTCATGCTTTCATATATACATAATTTCATATATACATAACAATTTGTTATATCATTATAAAGAAAATCTTGTTTATATATATACACTGCAAATGAGGAGGACATCTCTATTCCTCAGTCTCTTGGTCGAATGCAGATACACCATTAACCCTGCTGGTAATCTGGAGGATTTTAAACATATGGCGAAAATAGCAGCACAGATTGGCGATGTGTCTGAATGGTAACAAACTCAACTGATAAAAGACAAAAACTCAACTGATAAAAGAATCTCTCTACAAAAATGCTTGCTGCAAACCAACAGCTTTGCTGTATCAGGCCTGATAGAACCACGGGGAAAAACATGCAACAAACCCTGTGGATCATGGAAACACATACGGCTTGTGCTGTGCGTGGACATGGTCTCACTCAGTCATTGGGTCTCACAGCTTGGCAGGTCTGCCTTGCCTTCAGAAACCATATGCTTTCTTGAATAATTAAGAAGCAGGGTCTTCTCATAGGATAAGAAAACTCAGCTATGAATAATAATGATAAACTGATGCATAAACACTTCACTAGCAGATTTGCGCAGCGTCACCGATTTTGATCTCACCTCAAAATTTATTTTATATCCGGAAGACGAAATTAGCTGACAAAAGCTGAAAATTATCCAGTGTCCCCCAAAATTTAAGCTAACAGGTGCTAACGTTATCTTAACTGATGCTCAACACACACAAATCTGTAAAAAAAAAAAAATACTCCAGGTTGTCTTGAACTTTAAATAATCTGTTACTGACTTTAAGAAAATATGCTGATAACCATATTGTTCCCCTTGAACTTTTTCCTCAATTGAAGTAATAAACAGATTTCAAACAACATGAGGTTGAGTAAAAGGCGACAGGTGTCTGTTTTTAATGACCAATTGTAATCAGGTGTTATGTGTGTTTGTGGTGTTTTTCTTGAACAGCGTAAAGGTAGCGTTCACAGGCAAGACAGTGGCTGTTGTTGTGAAGTCTAATAAGACCCTGCAGGAAGCCCTTGCTGCAATGCTAAACAAATACCGGCTCAGGTCACACGAAGCCACTGTCACCATGGTGAGTGACCAGAACAAACATTTCCTTCTTTGTTGAAAGTTAATAGATTGACCTTTTCGATGGACCACAGGCATATGGGATACACTGATTTTCTTCGTTCTCTAGTTATTATTCTGCTGCTGCAAAAGTAGAAAAGTGGCAGCAGTGAACAAATCAATGTTTAATGTCCTCAGTATACACAAAAATGGAATAACTCAATTCAGCTCGTATGCAGGAGAAACCTCCATCTGCTTTCTATTGTTTTACATTAGTGTTTTCAGATTAATTGAAACAAACCATTTTACATTATTGGTAAGTACTGTCCCTTTAAATTCTATAGAATCTGATTCACAAGATCCATTTGTCTGCAAGTTTAGCTCCAACTCTAATTAAATACAACTAAGCATGATAATTATCATTTTTATTAGCATAATTAGAAAATCACAGATAGGTGAGTTTAATCTGAGTTGGAGCTATAGAGAGAGGGGTCTGGATGCAGTTACAATCTGAGCTGCATACAATGCTTTTATTTGGCTCATCTAACCACACTTCTTACAGTAAATTCACCAGCTTCATTGAGGGCATTCTGTCTGTCATTGCATCTATAAGATATGCAGTCTCAGCTTGCGTCATAAAGGCTGCATCCAGATACTATTGGCTCTATAGGCCTGCTTACGTCTGGTCACTTCATGCATTTTTTTTGATTAGACAGCTGATATGTGATTTCTGAAATCGATTCCATTTACAGTTGACCAAACAAATGAGTGTCCATTAATCAGATATATTTCTGATATTAAAATCTTGTGCTTCATGCAAATATAACTAGGTTACATCAACTATAGCATCAAATACTGCTTTTTATTTACTTAATTTTATTATTTACAACAAACACAGTCTATATCTTATTTGGCATTTAAATTATTTTATATGAAGGATGTAAAACATTATTACACATGCACAAGGCAGGCTACAGTATTATTTTCATTACAAGCTAAAAGAAAAATCATATGTGAGCTACTCAATGCATTTGGGCATGCAGACATGGTCAAGACGATTTGGTGTAGTTCAAACTGAGCATCAGAATGGGGAAGAGAGGTGATTTAAGTGACTTTGAACGTGGCATGAGCAACGCAGGAGCGCAGTTGGTAATGCTGTCGCCTCACAGCACGAAGGTCGCTGGGTTGAGCCTAGGCTCAGTTGGCGTTTCTGTGTGGAGTTTGCATGTTCTCCCTGCTTTCGCGTGGGTTTCCTCCGGGTGCTCCCGTTTCCTCCACAGTCTAAAGACATGCGGCACAGGTAAATTGGGTAGGCTAAATTGTCCCTAGTATATGAGTGTGTGTGGATGTTCCCCAGAGATGGGTAAGGGCATCCGCTGCGTAAAAACGTGCTGGATAAGTTAGCGGTTCATTCTGCTGTGGCGACCCCTAGAGCAATAAAGGGACTAAGCCAACATGAAAATTAATGAATGAATGAATGAATGAACGTGGCATGGTTGTTGGTGCCAGATGGGTTGCTCTGAGTATTTCAGAAACTGCTGATCTACTGGTATTTTCATGCACAACTCTAGGGTTTGCAGAGAATGGTCTAAAAAAGAGAAAATATCCTGTGAGCAGCAGTTCTGTGGGCACAAATGCCTTGATACCAGCGGTTAGAGAAGGATGGTCAGACCGGTTTGAGCTGATAGAAAGGCAACAGCAACTCAAATAACCACTTGCTACAAACGAGGTATGCAGAAGAGCATCTCTGATTACACAACACATCAAATCTTGAGACAGATGGACAACAGCAGCAGAAAACTACACTGGGTGCCACTCCTTTCAGCTAAAAACAGGAAACTAAGGCTACAATTTGCACAGGCTCACCAAAATTGGACAATAGAAGATTTGAAAAACGATACCTGGTCTGACGAGTCTCGATTTCTGCTGTGATATTTGGATGGTAGGGTCAGAACTTGGTGTCAACAACATGAAAGCATGGATCCATCCTGCCTTGTATCAATGGTTCAGGCTAGTGGTGGTGGTGTAATGATGTGGGGGATATTTTCTTGGCACACATGGGCACACTGACCATGTCCATCCCTTTATGACCACAGTGTATCCATCTTCTAATGGCTACTTCCAGCAGGATAATGTACAATGTCATAAAGTGCAAATAATTTTAGACCGGTTTCTTGAACATGACAATGACTTCACTGTATTCAAATGGCCTCCACTGTCACTAGATCTCGATCCAATACAGCACCTTTGGGTTGTGGTGGAACCAGAGATTTGCATCATAAATGTGAAGCTGACAAATCTGCAGCAAATGTGTGATGCTATCATGTCAGTATGGACCATATCTCTAAGAATATTTCCAGAATTGTGTTAATTCTATGCCACAAAGGATTAAGGCAGTTCTGAAGGCAAAAGAGGGTCCAACTCGATAGTAGTAAGGTGTACATAATAAAGTGACCGATATTTGTGAGATATCATCCAAAATTCTAAAAAGTTTAAATTAATTTGTGTATAACATACACTCCCAAAAACTTAACAAAACATCATGACTTTGTAAATGAACATCTCTGTTGTTAATGCTGGGACCTATTAATAATTTAATTTCACGATTTCATGGTCAAACAAAAAAAATGAAATGAAACTATTTCATTAAAATAAAACAAACATTCTGAAACTGTCACCTGTAGCATTCAGTTGCTTGGGCATTTGTTCTTGTATATCTGACGGTCATAGCCCACAACACGTGTTCTCACATTTATTACCAGATGCATTTAAACCTGTCCAGTTTTATCTGTAATGCGTCCCAGACCACATTCTGAAGTGGTTTGAGCAATCGGATTTATATCATTCTTTATTGCAGCGGATCTCAAACTTTTTTTTATCAAGTACCACCTCAGAAAAAAAATATCTCTTCAAGTACCACCATAATGAGCAGTATTGAAATACAGTAGCGTAGTAGGCCTGATTAAGCAGCTACAGCTCTGCACAGTTCAAAAGCCAGGCAGATTAATTCCAATTATTTATAATATTTATCATTACCAGCCACAATTAAACATTATAAATACTTTGAACATTAACACTGCACTGTGCTTACAGGTAAAAAACTAACAAACAAACAAAATAAAACATCAGCATTTTAATTCTAATATGCTTTTAAAAGTGAATTAAAAATGGTAGACTACTGTTAAAAAGTAAAAAAAAAAAAACTGCACTTAAGTGTAAAGTATTAAAATATAGTAGTCTTTTCATCAAAACCTGAAAATGTTGCTTGGACCTCATAAATATAGGCTAAATGTTATAATATTCATTTATAAATCATTTGTGATGATGTTTGGAATATATTTTACATGTTTATGTATGATATATTTGATTCCTCCACGTACCACTAGAAGGAAGCCCCCGAACCACTAGAGGTACATGTACCACAGTTTAAAAACCACTGCTCTAATGCATTTCGGAAGACATTTAGACCTTTCATTTTTATGATTAGCTATCCAGTCAGAAAAAACAAGTGACCAGGTGTAAACAACTTTATGGTATATATTTTTTCTTCAGTATTTAAAATGGACCTATTTGGTTTTTAAAACTCTTAAAAGAATACAAAAGACAAGTTTTGTCTAATAAGTCTTTTTTTTCTAGCCATAGTTTTCATGTGTAAATGCAAAGTTTTGACTATTACATTTAAATTTGTAATTTTTTGTAAAGATTTTATACATTCTTAACTTTTTTTATTTAATGCTCAAATATTGAACAAGCCCAAAAAGCCTCTAGGTATGTTGGGCAAAATGTAAAATAGTCATATATTTTTATTATATGTTGGCTACTAGGTGTTGGATTGCTGGCTTTTTTTCTCTCTCTCTCTATCTTTTCCCTTAATATCCATATATTTTATATACAGTTAGGTCCAACAATATTTGGACTTACGCCAACAAAATCGAATCGAAATCGAAAATTCATTGAAATGAAATGAAGGGAAAGAAGTGGAATTTATGCAATGGCCTAGTCAATCGCATGACCTGAATCCGATTGAGCTTGCATTTCACTTGCTGAAGACAAAGCTGAAGTGAAAATGCCCCAAGAACAAGCATGAACTGAAGACAGTTGCTGTAGAGGCCTGACAGAGCATCACCAGGAATGAAACCCAGTGTCTGGTGGTGTTTTGGAATTAACAATGAAAGTTTGATTTATGATTATTACTCTGTCCAAATACTTTTGGACCCTTAACAAGTGGGAGGCACATATGCAAAGTGTTGTAATTCCTACAGTGTTCACCTGATTTGGATGTAAATTTCCTCTGATTAAAGCTCTCAGTCTGCAGTTAAACCCCATCTTGTTCATTTAATTTCAAATCTATTATGTGGTGTATAGAGCCAAAAATGTTAAAATTGTGTCGATGTTCAAATATTTATGCACCTAACTGTATATTAAACCTGGCATAACCAAGTCTTTTTGCATATTGTTTATGTACCTGTTGTATTATTCTATATAGAAATGTGCATATTAATGCCAAAAAATGTGGGAAAAAGTAACACTAAACTTCCCAGTGCAAACCCAGCAAACAGTTTTGTACTTAATAGACATCTAATCGTAGACAACTTGGCTAAAACAATGCCAAACTTGGACTTTAAGTGAAAAATCTAATATACATCTAAGAATAGCCCAAATAGACAGACTAGACAAACTTATATGTGTAGTCACATATTTTTGTGACTTTACATAGACTAGTCTAGTTTTGGCCTATTCTTAGATGTCTATTAGATTTTGACTGACAGCCCAAATTTAGCCTGGTTTTGGCTAAGACAACTATGTTTAGACTTCTGTTAGAATCATGCTTAATCAATATTGTTCTCTATTTTCAGAGAGATAGCGGACAGAAAATAAGCCTGAACACACCAGTCACCTTTCTGGCTAATAAGGCACTAATTCTAGATAAAGGTATGTAAAAATAACCCAGTTAAAAAGATTGACATACAGACAGATTATAGATGGATGGTGGATAATTAGATGAACAAAGTTGGATAAATAAGTGGATTGATGGACAGAAAGTCAGACAAACAGATAGACTGATAGCTACCTAGATAGCTGGATAGATATTGTGTTGAGTCCTGGAATTTTCTATTGAGCTTAAATGTACAGGCATGTGAGAGCCTCCACTGTGGAGAACTTGTCATCTTTCATTTGTGTTATTGTTGTGGAAGCTTTGCTGTTTCTCCATTCAACAATAAACATCTCACACAGTAGACATGGCTGCATATTAAAGAAATTGGTGGAATTGATCAATTTTAATACATTGGAAAGTTACAAGTCCTTTGTTCTTATCCCATTTTTAAAACCATATTATTCGAATTTGCAGGTGTTGATGAGGCCAGCAGCTCAAAGGGGAACTTCTCACCTCCCTCATTTCAAGTGAGTCCACTGCTTTAGAACTCAAAGAATGGCTAAAGTGAACGTGCCAGTGTGGGTCAGGGCCAGTCTCCTTTCCTCAGTAAATTTTGGGGCATGATCAGGGTTTCTTCGAAGCCAGAGGCTGGGATTTTTCAGTCCCCCGAATGCCTTGGGTCAAAGCAGGCTAGCTACGACTTTGGGGAAAAATGTAACTGCTCAAAAAAGAAAGAATATACAATATTGATCAGTTGAAGATACCAGGGCTTTCCTGAGCATTTGGACTGAGGAGAATGTTTGACGTCCTTGTCAAAACAAAGATGTTATAAAATATGTTGTTACTGTTTCAACACACTATGATACAATTTTGGGAAAAGTTTAAAACATGGGCATATTATAAAGCCATTATGAATCACAAAGGTCCAAGCGATGCTCACAGAAACAAATTTCAGTGGTGTGATATTGTGCATGGTATGCTGGATCATCACTAGACCCACAAGGAATCTGTGCACACAGAATTTTGCAGATTTTCGTCAGATTTTGAGCAGGTTTTTAGCCCATCATAAATTCTGTTTATTTACTTCAGTAAATGTGTCTAAATTTATATGTATTCAGTTTTTGAATTAATTACAGTAACATTATTGACCAATATAAAAATGTTCATCTGATTTCTGTACAATGCAGTTTGCACAGTAATATTTATTTATGTCTTTTAGTAGATATATGAGAGACTTGCTTTGTTTACCAAATAAAGTTAAACTAATTGGATTTGCATTGTAAACAATAAATACAAGTTAAAAAGAAATAATTTTTATTTCACATATTAAGTTATGATACTCCCAAAATAATTCCACAGAAATCCACAAATTTTTAAGAAAACTCTGCACAGAAATTTATAAAAAATTCAGCAGATTCCATCTGGCCCTGGTCATCACTCTTCTATTAGTGGAGAGAACATTCAATACATGGTGCCAACTAAAGTTGCAATTGGTAAGCTAAAATAATGAATGAAAATACATTTCTGTGTATATTAATAAACATAATTGAATGCTGTACAGCAAGATGTCATTTGTTTACTTGTCATTTATTTCCATCTTAATTATTTCATAATGATTCTATGGTGTACTTTAGCTGTGTTGGGATGTGTGATGTTTGATTTGTGGGCCATATATAGGGGTTAGGGTTTTCATGGTGCACTGCAATCTATTGGCTCTGCATTGGCCAAAAATGTGAACTGGTGACCTTCCGCATGGGTGTCAGTTGCTCTAAGAAGGAGATCATGGCCTCTAGCATCTGTCGCTAGAGCACCTTCATAGGTCAGAGGAGTGAGGTTTACCTCCACAACACTTCACTAGCTGGCCTCTGCTACACTCACCCCCTTAAACCTCACTCTCATCCGAGTCACGGCACCAATGTAACCCAGCTGGTCCTATGCTACCTAACCCGCTCCAAGCTGGGATTGAACCGGCGACTCTTCACATGAGAGTTGGTTTCCCTAACAAGGAGGCTAAAGACCATGGACTTGAGCATCTGTTGCTTGAGAGGAATGAGGTTTACCTGCACAGCACTTCACTAGCTGGCTTCGGTCACACTCACACCCTTAAACCTCACTCCCATCCGTGTTATGGCACCAATGTAATTCCGCCGGTCCTACACCACACAACCCGCTCCGAGGTGGGAACGAACCACAACCATACACATAGGAATAGGTTGCTCTAACAAGGAGGCTTAAGACCATGGCCTCTAGCGTCTGTCGCTAGTGCACCTTTAAAGTCAGAGTAGTGAGGTTTACCTGCACAACAAGTCACTAGCTGGCCTCTGTTATATTGGCTCCACAGATATTTGTCCCAGTTAACCTGAAGACGCCCTAGCTTGCATTGGCTTGACAGTGGAAAAGCAGCTAATAGCTCAATATTTGTCAGTCATTCTCAGTGGTCTTCCATATATGTCACCAGGACCGGAGAGGTGCTGTGGATGCGAACATGTTCTCTCCAGGGATGTCCAGACCAAATGTCCGACAGAGGAACCCTGGATTGAGAAGAACCTATGACATGGAAGGTAAATGTTTTCTCATTTCTCTAATGTTTTCTCTATTTGTGAGAAATTGTAATCCAGCCTGCTTATCTGAACATGTTGGGACTTTCAGGTTTGGTGGAGTTGTTAAACCGAGCTCAGTGCTGCAGCGCAGATGATCAGCGAGGTCTCCTGAAAAAAGAGCACCTAATGCTGCCTCAGTTCCTCCAGTTACCCCTGGACGAAGTGGAGGAAGCAGAGACATGCAGATCGCTGGAGGACTCATGCTCCAGTATGGGGTCTTTCGAAGGGGATTGTACTCCTAGAGTACAATCAGACACTTTAGAAGAAGGACCATCAGAAAGAGATTGCTCAAACTTGGCACGAGAAACTGTGGTGTGAGCTAAATGGACCTGTTACATCCTTTGCTTCAATGATCAGTCACACAAGAACATGAGGAATAGAGAATACCATATCAGTAATGTCGATGTGAGTGTTTTAAACGATGGACACTTGTTATTGCCATTTTTTGATAGAGGCAAATGCTATGAATATTGTTTACAGTTGATGTGATTCTGCACGTTAATGTTCAGCTGCTTGTATTTATTTCAGATTGACAACAAAAAGTAACAAAAATACATTTTATCTTTTCTTGTAAAAATACATTGCATACTTTTTCTTAAAGGTGCCACTGAGGTTCTTCAAGATGCTATAGAATGCAATTTGGTATAATATGTCAAATTGTTCTCTGATATCTAAATGAGAGGAATGTGAATTAACTAAGTACAAAAACTCTCCAGAAGTGGCTTTACATGCCCATTTACAACCCTAGGATTTGCCCCCAGAATGAAATGGTCTGTTTTTACCTTATGTTGTAGGGTTATGAATAATACTATTGAGCTGTTCTCTGAATGGCTGTTTCTGAGCACGGCTAGATCACACAGCACATATATCTTCTGTCAGTCTGTCCAGTTCAGGAGCTGTGATGTACTCTGAAATACAAGCTTGCAAAAAAAAATAATAGTTTGAGTCAAGAATTAAGTAGATGCCTCATCAAATGATATCACGGCATGACATGATTACAAACCAATCCAGCCCTCAATTCAAGCAATGGTTACACAACCATTTAGAGCTGGGCTATAGTTTTTTGAAGCTATTAAATGAAGTTAATATCTAATAAAATGGAAATAGAAAATTAAGTGTTCATGCAGCAGCTCCTGTGTTGATATTAATGAAATATAGGCTAAATTATAATTCTACCCAAACAAAAAGACTGACATAGAGGTATCTATATTGTTGTTGTTTTTTTACATTTAACATGTATTCATCATGGTATCTATCTTTGCTAGTTAGATACAATTAACATTACTGCAAAATAGCAAGATAGTTATTGTTATCTCACTAAGAAATGTTCAGTTAAAACAGAAATTATTCCAATAGTTCAGTAGTGGATAAAATAGATGCTTACTGTTTGCTATTTCTATTTTTAATGCAATATTGTAGGAAATGCCCTACACTATTTGGGGAATTACCAAAGACACTCCTAAAAGGATTTTGGCCTAGGCTACATACTAATGATGCAGTGTCAATGTCAACGATGGTGTTATGTGCTGATACGCCTGAGTGGCTTTTTGCTTAAACACAATTTACATAAAAAGGAGGAAACAATGGTGTTTGAGGCTTCCGGTACAACATTTCCACAAACTCTTATTATTCATCTATGACTATTGTGATTTTGGTAATGAGTAATACACACTTTGCATTGACATTATTGAATATGTTAGGATGCATTTACATGATGCACATAATATCTAAGATCGTGCCCATAGATGAAAGTAATACACCTGTACAGTTAAAGTTGGAGTTTGTAGCCCCCTTTGAATTTTTTTTCTTTTTTAAATATTTCCCAAATTATGTTTAACAGAGCAGGGATATTTTCACTGTATGTCTGATAATATTTTTCTTCTGGAGAAAGTCTTATTTGTTTTATTTCAGCTAAAATAAAAGCAGTTTTAATAATAAAAAAAAAAAATTCATTTTTTAAAAAAACCATCATTATACAATAACTTGCCTAATTACTCTAACCTGCCTAGTTAACCTAATTAACGATAATTAACCATAGTGACATAACCTTTGAATGTCACTTTATGTTGTCTTGAAAAATATATAGTAAAATATTATTTACTGTCATCATGGCAAAGATGAAACAAATCATTTATTATAAATGAGTTATTAAACCATTATGCTTGAAAATATTCTCTCCATTAAACAGAAATTGGGGAAAAAATAAACAGGAGGGCGAATAATTCAGAGGGGCTAATATATCAGACTTCAACTGTATGTCAGTGTACATCTCTTTTTTTTCACCAGTTTGCATTGTTGTGGTTTGCAAATACAAGCACTTTGAAACTTGTTTTCCAATTTTGTGTTTTCAGGCCTCAAAAGAGCATTGCCAAATACTTAAACACCCAACACAGATAAAATAATAATTAAAAATAATTATAGAATATGATCTAACCAGGCATATAAAAGTACATGTATCATAAACAGTCAAGCATTTATTAATCAGGATTCATTTTCATTCATGAAAAATGTAGGCCAGTATGAATGTAATTCATAATGTAAAAAGTAATGGTATTTAATTAATTAATGATCTTTAAACCAGGTAGCTAGCTCTCTGCAACTTTCACATGGTCGTCTACTGAAGCTAAGCAGGTCAGTACCTGCATGGGAGACCACATGGGAAAGCTAGGTTGGTGACAGAAAGTGGTATGAGGCCAGCAGGAGGCGCTCAACCTGTGGTATGTGTGGGTCCTAATGATGAGGACTCTATACTGCTCAGTGAGTGCCGTCTTTCAGATGTCATTCGAAAAAAAAAAAAAAAAAACTAGGAGTCAAATTTGCCCACTGGCCTCTGAATCATATCATAATTAGCTTCATAACACTGTCTCCTCACTGCCAAACTGCCAAAGCCTCTCGTCCCCTTCTTTCCGGAGGTGCACAGTAGGCTCACGCAGTCTTGGAGGGCACCTTTCTCTGCCCTTGCTGTGTGTCCCTCCGCCCTCACCCCCCTTGACAGTGGAGCTGCCAGGGGGTATGAGGCGATCCCGTCAGTGGAGTGCGCTCTCGCGGTCAATCTTTGCCCGTGGGGTCCGCCCCGTCTCCCGTCCAAAGCCTGTAGGTTATCTGCCTCACCCGGAGCCAGAGCTTACAAGGCTGCGGGCCAGGCTGCTTCCGCCTTGCACGCGATGGCCACCAACCGGCGCTACAAAGCGCAGGCGCTGGCCGAGCTGCACAAGGGCAGGTCTAACCCAGGCTTGTTACACGAGCTGCGCACCGGGACCGACTATGCTCTTCGGACTACTAAATCCACCGCGTGTGCACTGGGGAGGACGATGTCTACACTAGTGTTTCAGGAACGCCACCTCTGGTTATACCTGGCCGATATGCGCGATGTCGACAAAGTTCGCTTTCTTGACTCGCCCATATAACAGACTGGCCCGTTCGGCGACACCGTCTGTGAGTTCACCCAGGAATTCAAGGCGGTGAGAGAGCAGCCGGATGCGATGGGCAATGTCATCTATTGGCAGGACCGTAAGCCCGCTCCACCGCACGTCGATAGCTGGTAGCCCCCCCCTGCCAAGGTAAACGGACTGTGAAGCGTCCCTGAGACAGGCCATCCGGTGAAGAGGAAACTTGCTCTTTCCCCGCTGGAGGGCAGGGCCCCTATTCCAACGGTACTTTTCAGTGCCACGAAAACATCAATGAAAGAGCACTTTTCCCCTTCCCCGGATGTGACAGCACGAGCCTTGCCAGTCCGGGATGCGCTGCCTTCCAGCTCGCAGGTTCGATGTGCTTCGCCAGTGGCTCACGAGCGCTGGGGGGACGGTCTCCTTTTCCCCAACCCTGGAGCCCCCTCTCCAGAGTTAGGGCGCAGAGCCAGAGCGAATCGCTTTCCTCCAGCTCTTCCGCGGGACCCTCGCACTCCCCGGATCAGCACACCCACTCCGTGCTGCCCCACCGCTGGTACGTCAGCAATTGTAGCGATGACTCCATTAGCGAGGGCTCTGCCTGCCTGGTTAGCGAGGGCCAGCCCCTCATACGCACAATCAGACTCGGTTATGCAATCCAGTTCGCGAAACGGCCCCCCAAGTTCATGGGTGTGTATTTCACCAGGGTCAGCCCCCTGTTTGCCCCTGTCTTGCGAGAGGAGATTGCTGCCCTCCCGGCAAAGGGTGCAATCAAAGGGTGCCTGTCCCTCCAGCCGAGATGGAGGGTGGGTTTTACAGCCCGTACTTCATCGTACCCAAAAAGAGCGGTGGGTCACGGCCAATCTTTGATCTGCGCGTTTTGAACCGCTGTTTGCACAAGCTGCCATTTTAGAATGCTCACGCAGAGGCGCATCCTCCGATACGTATGTCCTCTGGATTGTTTTGTAGCCATAGACCTGAAGGACGCGTATTTCCATGTCTCCATTCTTCCACGCCACCACCAGTTTCTGCGGTTTGCATTCGAAGGTCGAGCGTGGCAATACAAGGTCCTCCCCTTCAGGCTCTCTCTGTCTCCGCGGGTCTTCACCAAACTCGCGGAGGGTGCCTTAGGGGAGGGTGCCCCTTCGGCTCGCGACTTCCCAAAAAATATACCTAAATCCGTAAAACTTCAGTTGAAGTGGGATAAGTTAGGGCCAGGGACACGTTGGAGGACCGCGCCTCCCATGATGTGGGTGCGGCACGCTTGCTTAAATATCCTCTCATCGGAGGCGTTGGTATGGTGTAGTCATTATGGCGTTTTCCATAGTACTCCAAATTCGTGGATTTTCCTAAATCAAATCCACTAATAGCATTTTCATTCCCCTCCTCGGGGAACGAGGCTTAAATTAAAACTTAAAATTGTATACACAACATTATAATAACATCAATACTAGGTTAGATTTAAGTTGTGTGACCAAAATTCAGCAAGCAAGGACAAGTTATTTTCATGTCTAATAATGACGTCAAATGACTGATATTTGGTTGATTTTAGGTTGTGTTGAAAAGTGACCAAAATCCAACATTAAGCCAACATCTTTAACCAGCTTTTTTTTTACTGATGTCAGTTTTTTTTACTGATGTCAAATACTGACATTTATTCATTAGGTCATTGTTGTGAAGTCCACACAACATCAAGCTGAAACATAAATAAACGTTGATATTTGGTTGTTTTTAGGTTGAGTTGGATAGTGACCAAAATCCAACATATATGTGACATTAGACACTGACAGCAGTCTAACGTTGCATTCTGACGTCAACCTGATTTTCATTTCCAACCAAAATGCAATGGTACCCCCTGATGTTGGGGTACAACACCAATCTGACAGCATATTGACATCATGCTGGGATAGTAAAATAATAGAATATTTTTTTTCGCATTGATTACCTATTATATAACAACAGTTTATTCTCAATAAATATGATTAATCTCTATAGTTAGTGAAGCAAAATAATGATTGAATGATATACAGCATAACTAAGAGATTTTTGTCAGTGATGCATGAATAAATAATTAACATTATTTAACCAATGTTAACCAAAAAATAAGTGACATGAAAAGAAAACAGTTTAGAGATTGTTTCAGGCATTACATTTTGTTCAAAGACTATGAAGACAGTTTTTTTTTCCAATCCCAGTAACATATACTTGCTATAATAAAACCATAAAGCTGAATTCAAAGATATCAGCTTTCATTTCATGTTGATTTTTCTTGCTCTAAAGATTGATAATGTCTAGATCTCACACTATCCTAGAGTTTCGCTCACTGATGTTATGTCATCAGAAGACATGCAGCTACCCTGAGGGTGAATAAAGAGACAACGACATGAATGGTAGGAGGTAAAAAAAAGAGGCAACGAGCGAGAAGAAGCTAATGCATGGCGTACACTGCACGTGAGTTTCATGCTGATGGTTCCCTAGGCTTTAATAACACATACACACGCAGACACACACACATTTTCCTCTAGCACACCTTGTCCTCAGCAAAGTCTTCATCAGGGTTGTTATATTTATGTTCTCTGAATGGACATCGTGTAGCGAAGTAATCAGACTCGATCAGATGACCAGCCCCCAAGCCGAGGCACAGACAGAAAAGAGAGAGAGAAGAATGAGAGAGAGAGATGGAAACGCAGGGAGATGAGAGAAGAGGGAAGGGAGGGAGGTGGATCTCGGAGGTGAGGATTGTGCCTTACTTGACTGAGCTTGTCTTTGTGAGGATACAATTGTTACTGTTTTAACTCTTTGTAAAGGTCTATTTTGTGTGTCGTTTCACAGAAACGTGTTGCTCAATAGTGTGTCTGTCTTCAATGAAGAAACACTGAAATAACAAGTTTCACCAGGTAAGACCAATCTAACAAACTTCAATACTTAATGTCTCTTGTATTCTATCCATTTATTTTTTGTTATGCTAATTTCAGGATAAAAGTGATTTGTTTTTTAGATGTATTTTTTTATCTAGGAGTTTTGTTTGTTATTTTACTCTGAAGTGTCGATGTCATCTTTGTGTGTGTGTGTGTGTGTGTGTGTTTGTTTCTGTGAGCAGAACAGTTCCATCTAAAAAAGTCACACATTATTTTTTCTTTCATGTTAAGTTAATTATTTATTCTGTTCTCTATTCCTTCTCCTTTTTACTTTCATTATGTATTTTACATGTTTGCATGTTAATTAATTGTTCTCTCTTGCTTTGTTACTTTCTCCTCTCTCTCTCTCTCTCTCTCTCTCTCTCACACACACACACACAAACACACACACACACACACACACACACACACACACACACGCGCACGCACACACACACACACACACACACACGCACCAAATAATAGTATCTTGTGAAGATTTTATGTCAATATTATGTAATTGTACTTGTTAAAATATATTATTTGTAGTGCTCAATGCTTAATTCTTTAGGATATATTAAACAATCAATCTATGCTTGGCTAATATATAGTTGAAGTGCACCTATGATGAAAATCAGTGTGTCCACAGTCATATTGGGGTGATATAAAGACAATAAGTCTCTTTTTTTAAATTTCCTGAAGTTAAATTAGGATACAAATCCCGCCCATATTGAGGCTGACCCCTACCGTAGCAGCGCGGTTTCCCCATGCACCGATTTGATTGACAGCCGCAAATTAACATGTGTCTGTAGTCACATCTATAATCATATCAAGAAGACAGGATGTGCGCAAAGCAATTGGGATTAAAAGATCTGTTCAGCTCTCTGATCATCAATCATCATAAAATGTGATCAAGAATGAGTTTTGAACTTTTAAAATGTTTTTAAAACAGTGCATGTTTGTAAGGAATTACACCAATTTTACAGTTTTATCAGCCACAGCTGCGTGTCAATACAATTATAAAAGAAGACACTTTAATCGCAGTTTTTGGACATTAAATCAGGTTTATTTTGTACATTAACATAACAAATATATATACAGCAGTGAATATTATTGTAGATTCTGTCACATTTATTGTGAAAAAACGATGCAAAGTTAAACGTGCATGCTGTATGTGCGTGTGTGTATCTGTGTGTGCGTGAACTTTGTGATGACATTGTGTGTGGCTCATCATTGCAAAAAGGCTTGAATTAACTTCACAACAAATACATCAAATAGTCATTGGGAAAGTTCTTAATGTAGAATTTCTCACAAATGTTACGTGAGATCTGCTTCTTTTATGTGTGTCACTGTGCTGTTTATCTGTCGCAGTGGTAACGGTGGGTGAGAAGAACTAGCATTAAAGGCACAGGCAACAAAAACAACAACATTGTGTCCAGAGCAGGACATTCATAATCTGATGGGTTTTGAGCTTTTTTGGCGCTTATTGTATACATTTTTGTACTATACTACAATACTCCTACACTCTACTGTATACTACTAAAGGGAAACATTTTTGTGAAATGGGTGCTCTTGTTTCCCTCACAGTCAAGACATGCGCTGTAGGTGAATTGATTAAGCTAAATTAAGCTAAATTGGTAGTAATCTATGAGTGTGTGAATGTGAGAGTGTATGTGTGTTTCCCAGTACTGGGTTGTGGCTGGAAGGGCATTCGCTGTGTAAAACATATGCTGGATTAGTAGGTGGTTCAATCCGCTGTGGCATCATCTGAAATAGAGACTAAGCCGAAAATGAATGAATGAATAAAAACGTTTTAAAATTGACAGGTCCTACTTGTGTGTGTCCCTGGGAAGCATAAAATATCACCTTGCGATATATTGATCCACACACTTCTTCTAACCCAACATATAGCAGATGGATGGTTTCAAGACCATTTTACATGTTTTTTTTACATGGTTTCTGGATCCATCCTTTGCCAGACTCAAACCTGAAGTCCCAATTACAAAAACATACAAGACAAGCTACCGAGCAAGCTGACCACACTGAAAAAATCATTATATAGCGATATGAACACATTTTAATTTGGATTACATTTGCATTTAAGAAGTTTTTCTGCCATTTATTCAGTGCTGCACGAAGAGTTGCACAAAAACAACCATTTGTTCCTTAAAATATTTCATTGTAAATGTCTGTAGTGCAAAAAGGAACAAAAGTTGTCTGTGTTATACCACCCCATAATGCTGAAGCATGTTTTTGAGATTTTGCAAAAGTGTTGCTCTGAGCATGTATGCCAGTGACCCCTTTTTTTTTAATATTCACATTTGATTCAGTGTTATTTGCAATTTATTCCTAATTAATTGTGAAATGTCCTGGTTACATCCTTAACTCACGTTCCCCGAATAGGGAACTCCAAAATGTGTCTGGTAAACTGACTATGGGAGTTTGACAGACGACCTATGACTCTGAAGAGTTAGAAAATGGATGCCATCACCAATCAGTCCCTTAACTACTTATATATTCAGTAATTACATTAAACAAAATGTATGTTTACATTTACGATTTTGGTTGAGGCTTGCATTAAAATATTCCATCCACATATTTTCTTAATTGTTTCCTTGTGTTTTTTCCTGTATCCATGTGTGACAGAAGAGCGGACATTAACAGTAAATATCTTTTTTGTGCTCCATTTTCTTTCCATGTATTTTTCTTGTTTGTCCAGATATGTTTCAGAATGTATTATAGGGTATATGTAGAGGTATAATGAAGGACTTTTAATTTTCAGTAACCTGGGTCAAGTATGTCTGGCAGACTGTATGGTGTTACAAAATCGATAAGTTTGAGGTCTGTTTAAAAAAAAATGCATCAATGCCTGATCGATAAACAATAAAAAGGTGGTCTCAGAATGTACAAGAAGCACTGCATTAAATTAATAATATCTGCAATGTGCTTAAAATATAAAAAATTATTTACTCCAGTATTTTTAATGGAGTATCTGTGCCAGCCTGCCGATCAAGACAACATGTGTGGTTAAATGTCTTTAAAACCTTGTTTTACACTTGAACAAATAAATGAATGCTGAAATCTATTTAACTGGTTATATTTTAATTACATTACAGCACTGATGCTGTAAAAGGAACTGTATGAAATTGAAAAAAGTCACATTAACCGTTTAACTGAAGATTATCTGTATAGGAGATAAATCTCCATTTACTCTATCATATTTAGCCCAGAGCCCAGTCCTGTGTCTTTTCTAGTCTCCGAGCCCAGTCCTGTTTTTGCTCCAGCCCCAGAGTCCCTGTCAGTGTCATTTCCAGCTCCAGACCAGCACCACCCAGTTTCTTACCCTGTTAGTCCCGTTATAGCTCCTAGTCATGTAGGCACCTCCCAAGCTCCTTTTCTTATCGGGGGGTCAACTTTTTCGGTAATGTTAGTTTTTGATTCACCGTTCAGTGAATCAAATGTATGTATTTGTTTAAATTACATCTAAATTATTAATAAAATGTATTTAAGTTTTAAGTGTTTATTTTGTGCATTCTGACCTACAGTATTCAATTAGCTACTTCTAAGGTTCCTGTAGGTCAAACTATGCATCTAATTTGACTTTACTTTTAGGTTATATGTAGAAACAAACAGCTATTTTATGAGAAAACAATCATGTAATATCATATGTAAATCATGTAATCATATCTAAATAACTGATAGGTACGATTATGCATTCATAGTGGTATGAACCATTATGGGGGGTCAAATGTATGTTTATATTATTAATTTCATTCTTTATATTAATTTTTATAGATTATAGAATTTTCAGCTTTTTCGAGTGTCGAGGGAAGTCCATTTTAATCCATGTAATAGTATAGTAAAAGAGTACAACATGGATGACACGGTGGCTCACAGCAAGAAGGTCGCTGGTCGAGTCTCGGCTGGGTCAGTTGGCATTTCTTTGAGGATTTTGCATGTTCACCCCATCTTTGCGTGGGTTTCCTCTGGGTTTCCCCCCATAGCTATAGGGGAAATGAGTGAGCTAAACTGTCCGTAGTGTATGTGTGTGAATGAATGAGAGTGTATGGTGTTTCCCAGTGATTGCAGCTGGAAGGGCATGTGCTGTGTAAAACAAAAGGATAGGATCCAAGTGCATTTAATGGTTGGATTGTCATACTGATAAACAGGTGGTAAATAAAGGAACAACCAAAATCACAATTGAACAGGAATAAGGTCAAACACAAGTCCCCATTCAAGTGCAAAATATCAAATGATCAAACAGAAATAAAACAAGAAACTCTGGCATCCTATGGCACACAACACTTGACACAAATAAAAGACTCAATACCAAACTAACTTGTGCAGGGTGTATATATAGTCCAAACAACTCTTGATGACAAGCTTCAGCTGTGTGTGTGTGTGTGATTACTGAAAAGTGGACACTGGTGTATGTATAGCGGCATGTAGGGATTTGTAGTTCGCCACTGATTTGTAGTTCACCAGCGAACAGGCATAGATCACTAGCGAACGTGTAAATTTTATTTAATAAGAATACCAACACATTCAATGTTCAGTCCAAACAAAACAATATTTTGGGCATTCAGAATGTTCAGTCAGAAACTACTTGTCATAAAATCGTATTCTTTAGTACAATCTTAAAACTGACAGTGTTAATGTTAAGCAAATCAGCACTAGATATGCGCAGCCAAATCCTCCAAATGTTTGCTAAGTGAATGAAAAAACTCCCCATATTTAATATTTCATTTCAAATGGAAATGCACCATCACACTAAACTAAAAGCCTACCGCAAATTTGGCTCACATAGATTTTAAAGGGTACCTATGATGAAAATCATGTTTTGTAAGCTGATTGAACAGAACCCCCGCCCACCGAATTGACCCAGCAGGCACAGGATGTCAACTTGACGCAATAGAGTCTGGCTGCAGATTTGCACTTGCACTTTTAGGCTCGCGTTCTCTGACTCGCATGCTCAGGCAACTGCGTTTGCTTTGCAAGTG